CTGCTGAACTCGCTAAACATAAAAGAAGGTATGACATTAATGAATTTACTTAACCTTTGCTACATACTTTCTGTATAGACTGATATAATGCACATTCCTAGAAATAAACTTGTAAATATTACTGACATCACAAATGTAACTAGCAAAAAATTACTAGCTACAGTAAGCATACTCATATATTCTTAAGAACTACAACAGATCCTTTCTTTAAATTCAAAGCCAGAACCGGAACAGTCAAGATAGAAGGACAGTGCTGACCTAAGGCAAACAGGTAAGATTACATTCTTAAGAGAACAACAAAAACAGAGGAAGGAACAAATGGACATTCATGTATGCATTTTACTTGGACTTGCCTGCTGGGGCTGACGTACTAGAAGGAGCAGTGCTAGTTGTCCTCTGGTTTTGGGTGTTACGTACAGCCCATTGCATGGAACGGGGAGCTTGGGCAGCACCATTGGCATGTGAGCTATTGGTAGTTCGTTCCAGAGGTTCATCAAGCATGAAGGTCTCCTGCTCTATGTCATCACTCTGACTGCTGCTGCTGTCAGAGTCACTGGAATCATTTGATTGAGAGTCATCTTCAGAAAAAAATGCTGGAACACTGCTAGCTCCTGTCGAGGCAAAGAAGCAATACACGGTAACTGACAACTGCACATCTGTGCACATATACGTGTACCATGTCAGCCTTGCAAACTTTTTCCTTGAGAAGAAACTACACATACTAAAAAGGTTCAAATACCACTATTAAAAATGTTTAATAAATTATCCTTATAACATACTGCTAATTTTCCACAGGTTTCATGAAAAAGCAGTAAGATTACTTACATTTCAAAAGACAAATTAAGAAACAATTTGATTTTAAAATTCTTCACTGATTCTGCCCCCAAGCAATGAATGCTAAAAATTATGGTTCCAAACTGGACAGTAGAGCAGTTGCTTTCAAAAAGCCTTAAAATGATTGGTCAGGTTTTGTGTTTTGTTTTAAACCATATCTAACTTCTACATTAAAAATGAATGAAAACATTTAATTTCATTTCACAAGAGTGCAAGGTAATCTCTGCCTAACACACGCAGAATCTCTGTAAGAGCAAACACATAAGCCACATCATAGTGCATCTCCTTGTCCAAAAAGTCTGCATAGTACCTTACAATTACAGACAAAGGAAAAGCAAACGAAAAATGGGAAACATGGGCAAGATGGAGGTGGGAGGGAAGAAATTGGGTGAAGAGGAATAAAAAAATAAAGAAAGGGAAAATAAGGTTACATGGAAAAGGTATTTGTTAAAATGTCATAACCAGGTAATTCTCGCTCTGTCCAATCTAGTTGTGAAATAAGTAATTTCTCTGAAGTGCTGGATGCAGTCCAGATCCAAGGCAAAGAACAATACTTTCCAGGTGAAGCCAGTTGCGACTTGTTAAAGCCATATTCAGTCACTAACGCGTTTCTTTCTCCTGTACAACTTAATCCTAATATCTAAATTTAAACAGGTTGATTAAACACAAGATGATGTTGCATACCTGCTTCTGACCCAGCAGTAGCTGCAGTGACAACACTTCGGCGCCCACTAGCATTGTCCTGATTACTGTGGTTACTCTCACTGTCACTTTCTGTTTCAGCTGCGGCTAGCAAATCCAACTCCATATCACTGCCTATAAAAACAATATAAAAACCATCTCATGTTTGGAAACAGAAAAAAATAGAATGACTGTAGTGACTCATAAAAGACACATCAAGCAAACCCCAGAGCCTCTTACTGTAGCAGAAGTTAATGGATATATGGGGAGAGGTCATAAAAGCAGGGCAGAAGTGCAGCAATACTTCAAACATATTTTCTTATTTTCCAGCAATTAGCAACCCCTGGCCCTCTCACTCTGTACTGCACATGTACATTTAGCACACACACTGAAAATTAAGACTTCAAGGATTCAGAATTAGTCACTCCAGCCAAAGACTCTATAACTCTTCATTCACATGTATGAGGTCAATTAATCATATGCTGTTTCAAACAAGTATCTAAGAAATACCTGAACACTCAAAACCTAATCTAATTAAAAAATACAGGTTTTATTCAAGTTTAAGTTTGAGAACTACATGTTCTGAATACTCAGCAAGTGAATAAACAGATTTCCAGTACTGTAAATGGGTTAACTGGAAACACAGGGCACAGTCAGAAAAGGAAGACAATTTTTTTTTTTTTTTTTTACTCACAGCTTTAGGCCATCTAATCCCAAAGTAACTAATACAAGACAAATTATATTAACAGCAAGAATTTTCATACATAATGGATTAATTTTGTCTACAAAATATTGAACTGTAATTTAGTATTTTGTGATCAGTTTGAAAACTAGCTCACCATGATTCAGATCCCTTTTGAGCACACATCTACCATAACCACTATTCTATCATTAGCCATACAACAGCTATTTTTCAGTCCTTCAAGCAGTTTATGTCAACAACGTTTTACAGCAGCAAATACAAAAGGAAAACCAGATACTGTTAACCAAGTATATAACAACATTTGGGTTTCTTTTTTTTATCCTTTGGTACTTCTATTATTTTCTCTTAGTGCAGAAAAATAAAAATAAAAATGTTGATGTACTTGCCTGCTACAAGTTATCTCTAATTTTACTCATCTCGTTTTGTAAGCTGTGTAGTCTGAGACCCTTGGATTCTCTGTACTCATGCAAGTCTCCCAAATCATTACCATTGGTGACTCCAAGGATGGCTTTTTGTTTTGATATACAGTTTGCTCATCCAAGCAGTAATGTGCATGATGTACATTATACATACCATCTTCATCATGCTCATCATGCTGTCCTTCTGCTTCAGCATTTTCTTCACCATGTTCTTCCTGTTCATCATGATGGTCTTCTTCACCAGCTACCCCCTCAACCACTTCAACCTGGAAAGAGCATTATAATTTTATGCTAGAATATCTTCCATATCAGAGATAATCTATGTATTTGCAAAAACTCAGCACAAAATTTGATTTAAAAACTAAGAAATAAAAAACCACATCTAAGAAAGAGAACCTCGCAATTGAATTCAAGTGAACAGAAAATGAACTTACAGCCACAGCAGTTGTACATGGTTGTATGGTCCACAGTGTTGTGGAAAAAAAATCAGGCCAACAAATAAAACACAGCCCTGGACGTTAGATTTTTAACGCTGAAAGGGCAAAACTGACTATAAAACCTAGAATTAGTTTCTAAATATTGAAGAGCTACCATCCTGGTAAAAACCCTCTAGTCCTCTAACAGAACCTACATAACAGCAACCATGTGCTGAAAGACAAAATCTTTTTTAATAGGGAGTTATAATATAGTGTAAGTTTATACATAAAGGAAATGACAGATTTATTTATTAGTATTCTGTATCATACTGTAATTTTGTGAAATGCAATGCACTTAGTAAACTCTGAAATGACTATTGCTGAATGCAAAACAAAGATTATAAAGCTTTGTTAAAACAAAATGCTTATGGCATGGTAGGACTTCATGAAGTACTACTCTGTCTTTTGCAAATTGGAAGTCTTGATGTATGGATTTTCTGGTACAGATGTTAAAGCACGTGCTAATGCATTATGCATCATACTGAGGAGAAGAAAAAAAAAAAACCCAACATAAAAACCCCCACAAAAACTGACCTCTTCCACATCCGCTGAAACGATATCATCTTGCTCTTCATCCCTGCCACGAACCGGTTGTGACTGGCTGATTCGTCTTTGCTGAGGATTCCTTATGATGTAGGATGACTGAGATTGACTAGAACTTAAAAAAAAAAAAAAAAAAAAGTAGATTTGACCTCTGTACGTCACTATGAACCTAAATTACTGCAGAAATCTGTCAGTAGGAAAGTACTTCCAAAATGCTTGGCCAGAATAAGAAGCCTGACCATACCTCTCTTAATGAAAAGCTAACAAAAACCCAAAGCAAAACCACCCTCAATAAGTCTTTGAAAAGAACGAATATCGAGCTTTGGCGAATTTTACCTGCTAGACTGGTCAGATGATGGTCTGGGTGGCAGAGGCTCCACAGAAAACAGTTCTTCACTTCCCTGCATGGCATCTATACTAGTGCTAGCAAGAGTAAAGGGTGCTGTAGGACGTGCAATTCCCATCCTGACTGGAACAATTAGAGATTCTGCTACATTGCACAACTCTTCAACAGCATAGGGCAACAATGCCTGGAATACACGTTTACATTTTCCAATTGGCTGTGGAATAAAATTGCTAGGGAAAAAAATATGGAAAAATAAAGGTCAAATATAAGTCTTTTTTTCCAAAAAACTTTACAGCGATATAATTTTGTTCCCCAAAAAAAGTCAAGAAAATTCTCTTTAACAGACACATACATTCATGTACGTATAAAAACAATATGCACAGCTATTCGAGTCAGTTAAAAATATTTATCATTCAATAATTCAAGACTAAGGGTGGGTATCTAAATCTATTACTGACAACCAACCATAGATTGTAGTTTTAACATATTAAAAACCCCTACTTCCCAAAATCCTAACATTTTAAACAGAAAGGTTCAGTCCGAACATGTAAGTTTAACAAGCACTGTGTTAAAAAGCTACAAGACATACCAGCATCTATTGCACAATGTTGAGGTTTGCACCTTTCCACACAATGCTGCCTACAGACCACAAATTAATTCAGATGTTTCTGCCTATTATTGATTTGTATCAAAGCATTTAATAGAGAATAAGTATTTAAATAAAAAACCTCAAAACCACCACAACCAACACACATCCCCCCACCACTTACTTTTTCTTTTTGGAGGAAGCCATTTCCACACTAAGAATGACAAACACTCTTGCCACAGAACGCAGGAATCTCATTGTAACAGCAATAGCTTCTTCTCTGCGTCCTGGTGTGTACTTGTTTTGTAATTCCTTTACCAGAGTACCCAACAAAGTATCTAAGAGCTGCAAAAACAGGTCATTACAACCCAATAATGGTCTGTAATTTCAAAGCATGAAACAAGACAGATTAAGATTCAAAGGAGACCACAGTCATAACAGTATAAAGTCACAAAAACACAACTAACTTGACGTTATTTTCAAATTAGTCTCCAAGTGTATCACCTGAGATAGACTATACTATCACATTACTCTAAAAATCTATGTAAACCATGGCTAAGAGCGCTTACCAAAATGTCTGCTGTACACTTGACAATAAGGCAGTGTGTAAAACAGTCCAAGCGAATAGTTCCACTTTGCTGATTAAGGTAAACTTGTTCCTCAGGCAGAAGATGACCTATCCTACTGCTTGCACTAAGACTTGGAAAAAACAAAAAGAAAGGAAATAATTTTTATGTAAGTCAGCAGGCCTCAAACATCAGATTGAACTTCACATTGACAACTACGTGTAAATACACACGGGTCTTTATTTTCCTGGGAGCCAAACATGATCATGGACTTCAGTGCATTCCAGTCCTGCAAAACACGTTCCAAAGCAAGCTGGGCAAAGCGAGGAGGTTCTAAATCATGATCAGGCATATCAGAATCTAAAGAGACAAAAAAGCAATGTAAGAAAGAGGCACTGAAATAATGGAATTTGCCTTTTATTTCACTGAAACAGCTTTTACCTTCAGGATTTGCAGTTTTACGATTACGGTCTTCCCTAATTCTAGGTGGTCTGTACTGGCAGTGTTCCACAGTTTGCCTGGCAACTGTCTGTACTAAAAACAAAAGCAGATGTTCTCCCCTGTAACGAAAAATTGATTAGTGGAGATATGATGTACCACATATTTAAAAATAATAAAAATCATTCTGCCCTAGTCACTGCAAATATGAACTTGCCTGCTATTTGGCATGGTAACAAGATTTGTGGTGGTAAGCAGGCGGTAAAGGAGATCAAGGCGAGCAGACTTTTGTCCAGCAATTAGTGTTTTACACTTGCACTTTTCCCAGCAATCACAGTAGGCCGTTGGCGATGTTCGTTTGAGCCTACAAGAAATATAGAAGCTGAGCTACAACACTGTTCAGTAATATACCAAAAATTTTCTACACAGACTGAGGGTGTTAGTGTACACATTAAGATTCCTGCTAGAGTTTTCTTTTATTACATTAGAAATACATTACAGCAGCAAGATGCCAAAACCTAGGTTAAAAGAGAAATTCAGAGTTTATATGTTGCAACACTTGACATTTACTGTTCTTGTTTCCTACGCTCATTTTAAGAGGGCAGTTCCAATACAGAGCTTTTCATAGTGCCTTAGTAAAACTCATCCAAGATCACTTACTCTTAACAAAATAGCTGGAGGCTATTTTGGGGAAACTTAACTCCAAGTTGGAAATCCTCACAACATGCAGTAAAATCTCTGTAACTGTTACAATGCTGAGAATAATATCTTTATAATTGTATCTGTTAGCTTACTATAGCTAGGATATTAATGCTGTAACATTTACAACCTTGTAACAGTGGTACAAAACATCTGCAGCTTTGGTCAGGTTGATCAGAGACATCTTGACAGCTCATTTGTCTGCTTTATTATAGTTGCTTTTTTACAGCTGATCTTAAATATTTAAGTGCTACACTTCTCTCTGAAAGTTTACCACAATGATCTGTCATCCAGGATTCACTGGCTTCAGAAAACTCCTGGATGCACCCAAAATGAAAGCATGGTATTATTTAGATATATTATTCTTAGAATATTAAGCACTTTGAGGGTGTTAGAATTACTCATTTACTCTGAATTCTACAAAGTGAAAAGTAGAAGACTGCTTCATGTTACTCTTTCAATTCTGACCCATAGAATGAAAAAAAGATTTTTTAAATATCTTATTAATCTCCTGTTCTCTAATATCTGAACACTTCGACCAAGGGAAAAAAAAACCCTATTAACTATCAGTAAACAAGTGAAACCACAAGTTATTTATTTAATTATAAGAAACAGAACACAATACTTACTTGCAGTCATGTCCTTTGTGACAGACCCTTGCACATTCTGTGCAACAACAAAGAGATTCCAGTAGGCCACATGTTCTGCATTCAAATATATCCTAAAAAAAAATTTACAAAAACATTATGCATAGTTTTCTCCCTACAGCACTTACAATCTCACAGTATTTCAGCTTACAATAAAATTGCATTTGTTCAAACTGATGCCTTCACTTAGAAGTAAGCAGATTCTAGAAAGTGAAACTTTGTGGTTAGAATATTCAGTGTTTTCAAAGAGCATGTTTCCATCAAAATTTTTGCCAAAGGTAGCCAGAGGGGAAAAGCCACACCCATAAACAGCCATATTCTGACCAACACAGACAGCTTTGAGAGTACAAAGCAATTAGGGGAGGCAATAACTATACCAGACTTAAAAGTCATAGTAATTAAAACAATGTAACTTTAATAACTTAAAAATTAGTAGACTAACTCAATATGTGGTTGAAACACACTCCTATTTACCTAAAAAGAAAGAAAAAAAGAAAAAAGCCTTACTTGGTTAATATGTTCCGCACCAGTCCATGTAAAACTGCATGTATCATTACAACACAAAACATACAAAGGAGAGTCATCTGGATTTGTACCAGAAGGACAAACCATCCCCATAAACACATCATCTTCTTTTTCACTGGAAGTTGCTTCAGCTAAAAAAACAACAGAATACCAGTGTTAAAACCAACCCCAAAACCATAACAAAACCCCACCAACAGAACCCATACTTGACAGACATCTGCCATTCATTACAAAATCCCATACAGAATTAGAAGTTTTAATACAATCTCTGTCAGTTTTTTGAGAAAGCTTTCTGCTTGTCACATTACGGGTATTTCTTATAGAAGCTGTTGCAAATTCCTGACTGAAAAATACAAACTCCCAGTTTTAAATTCACTGATATTCTATTCAATTCAATGGATCACCATTTTGCAGGATTAAAAAATAGTTTATGGGCAATATTCTTACAAGAAATACACGCAGCCCTATAGACCTTGTCACACCACAGTTCTAATCTGCTGAAGTTTCTCCTTAAGTTCAACTACACATATTTCTCTTAAACAATTAAATACCAACATCAAAAGAGAGTCACAAAACATATGTTTGTATAGAAGTCTTTTCAGGAACAGGATCTAGCTTGGCATACTGCTTTATCATATCTGTTTTTTCCAATTCAGAGAAAGAAGTTCCAGGTGGTACTTTTGTGCTACTGAAAAAAATCCACTGATGTTTGTAAAGCAATGAAATGCCCAAAAGACTATAAAGAACACAAAGGCAATAATATTCATAGAAATCTACTGTAATATACACACTATAAAAGAGGAAGATACTTCATAAAAGCAAGATTTCCAAAACATGCAGCAATATACAGTGCTTTGGAAAGCGGTGTTTACCACCATCACCAGTGGCTCAAGCACATGTAATTTCACACAAAATAACGCACTGTTAATAAAGAATCTACACATACGCCAAATTTTAGAAAAAAATCACATCCTCCTAATAATTCCTGAAACTGGTTACCTTTAGCAATTTTTTGTGCAGTTTCTAGAATTGTAATTGCAGCAGGATATGCCCGGCCACTAACTGCTGACATAAACGGTGTCATGCCTCTTGCGTCCCTAGGGAAAAAAAAACAACCGACAAGTTAAAACACACTGAAATTTTTTGTTATAACAGGGGAGGTAGGAAACAAATATATGAAAACTTAGCACTGCTAATCTTGTGCAAACACGAAAACCAGGGAGTGAATAAGCATTCTTTTATTTGTTTTACTTCTGTGAAACAGACTTAATTTTAAAGGATGGCAGGACACAAATACAGCCAATATGCCAACATTCTCCATTTTCACTAATGTGCCTCTAAATAAGCTTTTTAAAAAGGCTTCTATGTAACAAATTCCAGGTGATAAGGACAGTGAGAATTCATATGAAAATCCTTACTTGGCTGACAGCAATTCTCTAAGATAGGGTTGTAAAACAACACTATCACATAGTAATTTCAGTATGAAATGAGCATTGGCCTTCCTATCCTTTGATTCCACTACAGATGGTTCGGTAGAAGGACCTGTAATGAGAAAAAAAAATTGCAGAGCAACAGTTTTTCCTCAAAAAAAATGACTACCTATTAAAATCAAGTAATTTAATGTTTCACTGGGCTGATTAATCAGTAGCTTGACTATTCAGTGGTTCGCCAGTTTCAGCAACCACTGAAGTACTGCAGACTTCAGTTCCAAATTAACATTCTGAAATACAGACAGTAATCCCAATTTCATACTGATTACCATATTTTTACATATTTGTCATTCCCCAGGTAAAAATAACTTTTACATAAAACACAGCATGGTGCTTCGTTTACTTTCCGCACACTTGTGAAATTCTGCTTCAATTCAATCTTCATCTGATAAGAGGCATTTCCATATGCAGAAAGTCTGTGCAAGCAAAGACAGCTTTTGAGATCATTTTCCTTCTAAAGCGTAATCAGATAAGCAGTGTGTCCTCACCTGGTATCGTGGAGGTGCTAGGTCCTTGGCCGGTGCCAGTCGCTGCTGTGGTAAGAGATCCCACAGCGGGGGCCAGGATAAAATCAATGTCACCATCTTTCAGTAAACAGAACAGCAGGATGTATATCAATACATAAAAACATCCCTAACAACATGCTCTGCCTGCAATGTCTAACACACTGCAGGTTTTCTGTATTTAATTGGTACCCTTTCCTACAGACGGCCACATTCCTAGATTAGTAATGTAAGTCAACATTACAAAACACGCTTCACAGAAGTTTGACACCTGCGTTAGAACAGTGGTTAAGTCTTCAGTTAACTCTTAAAGTTACCTCAACGACCTCTTGCTACACCTCAATGACATTAGGTATTTTAGTCTCATGCCAAAATCTAAGAGATTCACCTTAGAAGCCATCAGTTCCTTTATCAAATCTCTCATTCTACAGTTTAATGTGATATGTAAGCAGACTTACCCGGATCCATTGCAGGAGGATCTGGAACCCAGCTGGGAGGAGCTATCGGCGGAGAAACCGGGTCCTGGTGATCGCTTGACGAAGCACCAGCTTCATGTCTGCCCAGTCCAGCAGCTCTCAAGGATCTTCTCATCATTTCCCTTAATCTCAAACTGAATACAAACCAAATACTACCTTATTTTCATTTATAATTAGAACATTTTAAAGCAGAATTTCACACTGAAAAAAGGAAACCAAACTCTTCTCATCTCCATTTTTCTTCAGCGTAAAGAAGAATGAGCAAAGAGGTATTTTTTCATTCCTGTATTCCATTTTGTTGCAACAGAATACAATGGCCTTGGAAGAAGAGTCAGCCAGCAATGTATCAAGGCAGATTTGAGCTCAGAATGCATACCTAGTCACCACAGCACTGCCTCTTGCCAGGGAGCAGCAGCTGATGGGCATTATTACTGCTATTTGACATTCTTTTTACCCCAAAGTCATTGCCAGGGGTGTTAAGCTTGTGCAAAGATTTGCTCTGGCTGCTGCTGCTGCTTTCTAAAAATCTAACTGCAAGAAGAGGTTAATGAAAGAATAAAAAAGGGGCTTGAAAAAAAATTTTCTGAATGGAATTATTTTTTTAAAGTTAATTACTATGAAAGTACTACTTTACTGAGGACACTCAGTAAACAATTTCAAGAAATTCTGTATCATCTTACTAGAGAGAAAGGTGGTACGAATAAGGTCGAGGCCGGAGAACCCAGTGTGATACAAAGAAAGAGGTACGAACATAAAGGTGGTTTTCTTTTTCTTTTTTTTTTTTTTTTTAAATGTCCTTCCTCTTAAGGGTAATGTCTCCTACAGAATGTGGGAGGGAAGCTTCAACCTTTACCCTTATCTCCCATACTAAAAAGATTACAGTGATGAGGACTGTAGCTTGGGAAGGATAAAGGCATGATTTCATGCCAATTGCTTTGACTAAGTAAAAAAATTATACTACACCCTCGTCTAGAGTGCTCTGAACTGACTAGAAGTCGGTATCGATGCTGTCAAATTCCCTTGACATGAGCACCACCCAGTTACCACCGTGGAAAGAGCAAGAACATAAATGTCATCACAAGTTAGGATTCTGTCAGGGTCAGAAACCTACCCTTTAGAGCCAACTCGATACAAAGGACTTCCCCTGTAACAATGATTGCTTAGGATAAAAAGAATCAACCTAGGTTCTTCCCTACTGGTGTTGTGTTCATCTCCATATTATTTACCTGCGTAAGTGATCAACTCTTTCAGAAATTCTCTTAAAAGAACAAGCCTGGGCGCTATTATAGTACTTCTGAGATACTTAATTCTCCTTGGTAAGGAACACTAGAGCTTATGCTCAGATTCCCCCTCCCCACAAGGAGGGGCATTTCCACTTTACAACCGAGGAGACAATGCCCCAACCCTAGAAAACAGTTAGTTCAGAAATATCCCACCATTAGTTCTTGCACCAGAAAAGGCTTCCAAAAAATCCTCTCGAGCTCTAGTTCAGTGCCTGAAGAAGTGAAATCTGACTTTAAACTAGCAATAGAGCCGCCTCTTAAACGAGACCGAAGGAAAGAATTTAAGAGATTAGTAACTAACACGTAAATTAGCATACAGAAAACAAGACAAAAGTGCAGTCAGTTTACCTTCTGCTGCTTGATGATCCTGCCCGATTTCCTGGACCGTTACTTGACACAACAGAGATTGCATTTGCAATAGCTTCCACAGCTGACAGCCTTTCAGCAAATGTATTCCTTTCAGAGCGCTCTGCTTCTGAAAAATTAAGAAAAGTCCAAGTGTCAGAATTTCCCTTGGGAAAATTAGAACGAAGGAGTATAAAGTATGAAATGTCACTAATCCTAAAATGTTCCCTGCATTTTTTTTTTTTGAAGATTTAGAGGGACAGAGTAGGTTCATACAAAAATTTTTTTTGGACGAGCTCAACCATGACTGACTGGGTTTGGTTTCTAAAAGGCCAACCGGAAAGAAACTTGAGGCACCCAAATTCCAGAACAAACTTTCAATTTTCAGTATCATCAAGAGATAAGGACCTACTCACATAGCTGATTTCAGACACTTGCCGAGTCAAGTCTTCAAAAGTAATGACAACCAAAAAAAACCAGAACACCCCAAAAAAACCCCAAAGCACACTTCACAATGAGCAGCTATGAACAACAATGCAAAGTTGTGGGCTTGTAAGACACACTCTAGTTATGAGCATGCTTTGGAAAACTAACTGTTAGCAGTATAGTAAGGTAGCACAATCCGTTTACGTCAGAAAGAATAAGCATTTCTTCTAACATCTAAAACCCTAAGCACCGTAACACCTAAAAGTCCTAGTCACAATGAGGACCGAATTGTGCCAAGTGCTATACAGAATATAAAAATTCCCTAGTTGTACAGTTACAGTGCAACTGGAAGCGGACACCTGAAGCAAAGACCCAATGCAGATTTATTTATCTGCAAGACAAATACACTGTAAAGTCAGTGCACCTTCCACAGCAGATGACTATCAAGCACTTCACAGAATATTCTCCTGTGCCCCTAGTTCTACACTTGTTGACCTGTAGTTGTAATGAATTGCCACTGTATTTGAGATCTACTCCTTTCTAAGATGCGCTAGTTCTCTTAACTCATGACCCACCACATAGTACTTCTGGACCCCTCACACAGGGCCTCACAAGGGCTGGGATCCAGCTCTTGAAAGCGATCCCTCAAGCAATACAAAGCAATACAACCGTGTTCTGCAACAGAGAGCTCTCACCTATCCTTGGTCCCACAGTAAATTGTGACTGAATTTTCACTGTTCCGCTTATGATGTTACTATTCATTTCTGGAGACCCAGAAATTATAAATGCCCTGGCTCTCAGGGTAACTTGCAGTTCTGTTGTCTAATGAAATCTGTCCCAATTCTCCAGAAAAAACTCGAGTTTGTAGGTGTTCAGTAAAAGTTACCTGAAATTTAGTATCAGAACTCTCTGGAGTTATAACATGCTTTGGGCATTTCTTTTGGACCTGTCTTTTCCAAGATCCTTTATACTTGTGAGACTGACAAGGTACTAATTGTCAGAGCAACAGAGCAGCCTCCCCCATCTTTGCAGGCCTGGGGCCACTTTTCCTGCAATTCATTTATCCCACGCTGCAGGAGCTATGCTGAAACTACGCACAGGATCCGAGAACAGAAAAGCTTATCCCTGCCCTCTATAGTCCCTTTCCGGCACTTAAGGAGGAATCTATACAAAGAAGAGAAAAGGATCTCAGGCAGGTACTAGCTAGGAAGGGGCAATATGTTCTGTAATTGTTAAGGAACATCATATCTGGAGTCTGGAATTGAAGCCTTTACTCCTAAATCAAACTTCTTTTACAGTTTAACAGATGGCTGTATAACTTACAGACAGTCACATTAGTCACCACTGCCCTCCAGATGATGCACGGAAAATACGCTTGTTATAATATCCATTGCTAACAGTTACACTGGAAGGTGAACGTGATTTTAATCTAAAGGTACGAATCCCCTTTTATGACAATTTTTGTGAGGGGAAAAGAGAGAGGCAGAGGGGTGTTAAGAGTCTATCAGGTTCACGCTTTTCATTTTTCAAAAAGTTAAATTACATCCAAATGAAGTTACTGAAAGAAAGTCAAGGTTGCAAAGACAAGCACTCAAATTAGGAAAAGCCAGATTAAGTTTGCCCATGCATCCTTACTTCAGCTTCTTTGTGTGCTTAGAGTAAAACAATCTTCAGTTACACAGTTGGGTTTTGTTTGTTTGCTTGGGGTTCGTTTTTTGGTTTGGGTTTTTTTGTCCCCGGCCCATTCCCCTCCCACCCCTCCAATGAGACCCCTGCCTCAATCAGTGCACAGGATGGACGACACACTAAAGATGAAGGGCTGTACAATGAGCAAGCTGTTTATGACTTGTTTGTTCCAACAGTCAAAAGGCGTGTATAAGGCAGCAACAGCTTGGCAAGGAGAGAGGGAAGCACTATCTTGTGTTTAATGCCACTGAACATCACTTTGGAGAAGCGGAACCTATTTCTGCCACACCTAACAGCACACAGAACTTTGTGAAACAAATTTTTACACATGATTGTGATACATTTTACTCATTTCTGGACACCTAACAGGTGCCTGACTCACAGAAATAATTAACATTCACAGAACAACTAAAACTACTATTAATCCAGCTCTAGAATAGTGTTTTGAAGTAACACCTACTCAAAAAAATGAGATCATGCCCTAGGCTTCTCAAACAGAATGCTCAAGATTAGTTAATAGCTTTGAATACAGAAAAACTTCAAGCTATAATACCTTCAAGAGATGAGAAAGCTGCAGCATTATCCCCATTTTATAAATAGGGATATGAGGAACAATTAAAGTCTATAAATGACTAAAATTCAATGACAGCACCATACAAAAATCCCACAACGAAGATCATTCACTATTCAGTGCAGGGTTTGTATGGTGTGCAATAAGGAATGGGGCCACACACTGAATGATGAGGATAAAAAGAAATATTGAATAGCTACCCATTCGGTGAGCACCGTCCATCTTGTGCACTGAATGAGGTAGTCCTGTGGAAAAAATAGTATGACGGTGTAATTAAAGACCATTTCACAATGCATACCCATGTATAGCACACGGGTAAACTCAATTCTGGCATTTCCTAATTTCTGAGTGCTTGACTTAGCAACCTTGTTCTGTTAACATGCTTTTTACATAAGAGTATTTAATACACATTTTTAAATGGTGTCAGTAACTGACATTAACAGAAGGTCATTCTTCCACATTTCTTAATACATGTCAACTGCAAGTAGCATTTCTTATTGGAGGCATTAATGTATGCTATAACGCTTGAAAACTACAAAATACCGTTTCTCTTAAAAGTTTACTAGTGATATAATGGGGATACTAGTGATATAAAGGTGGAAAAATACTTGTTTTCATCTAAAATTAACATGTGGATGTGAAAAGCTCATCTTTTACAAGCAATAAAAACAGCTTTGTATTTTTAACTATTGAATTCTTACAAATCCTTATGAGAGTAATAAAAATGTTGTCTCAGCACCTTTGAAAGGCTAGGACACATTTTAGGTGCTAAATTTTAAGATACTTGTACATGAAGAATGCAGCCTTTATTTCAAATGTTCTTGAAAATGCATAAAAAGTTTATTTTCAAAGTATTTTCATGACATTGTTGAGCTCACCCTCTTCCTCTTTTGTTTCTTTGTTGCTGGTTGGAAAGCATACAGACACACAAGCATGCAAAATGTTGCGGTTTCCATCACATCTATGGCCAAGGAACGTCTGCAGCATTTGTGGATTCTGATCCAAGACAACTGCTTGTTCAAGATTCATCAGGTATTGTCTGCAAGCCTCATAGTCGCATCGGAGAATGTGCTGCATTAAAGTTTGTTTCTGTACTCAAAAGAATAAAATATTTTAACAATTTATAATACAAAAGGCAGATATAGAAGTTTCCTAAGTACTTCTAGTTTTCCGTTTCTGAGATTAATAGAAAGGTCTAAATCTAGGACACTGGCTGGAAGACAGTGCAGGAACTGTTGAGAACACACATCATCTCAATTACGGCACTGTTAAAAACAGAAAACAGCATGCATTCAGGCACAGACAAGTTAAAGGAAAGGAGAGGCTTAAGCAGCAGACGTTACCAGGCTCATAAAAGTATGTCTTTGGCTTCATAGCTGGGTTCTTAAGATAGATTACTTCTATTTCCTGGCTACATGTAACATGGGAAAAGTGATACCACTGAAAAAGCTAAGGGGTCTACATTAACCAGCTCTTACATATTTGTTTTAAACAAGCGATACACATGAAGAGAAGCTGTTGAAGGTCTGGGAGGCTCACTCCATATATAACAAGCTTTTCCACAGTGATGGAATACTCCACCGTGAAATCAACTGCAGTCTAACAGGTACACAATACCTCCTGGTGGCAGCATAGCACACAGCAGATCTAACTAAACTGCACCAAATCACTGACAGGTTTATGCAAGTATGATACAGAAATTCACAGTGGAAGCACTCATACAGCACCACAGATGAGTACAGAACTCTACAGGCAATTCAAGTGAAAAAACCCTTCACTTGACTCTCATATTTCCTCATGTACAGTCCAAATATAAGATTAAAGAAAAAAAAAAAGGAAAAAAAAAGGAAAAAAGTATCACATTCACAAGAAAAAGTTGTTGGATCCCTCAGAAAAACTGTGCACCCTATACAAATAAAATTGTATACTGGTAGTATACATAAAAAGGTAACAGTTTCAAAAGCAATGCCTAAAAAAATATTACTAGTTAAAAGCCTGACACAGAAGCCATGCAACCCCAAAATGGATCTTCCACTTTACTACATAAATTTGTTTGTGCTTTCATGTTTCTAAGAGAATCTTCTGTTGAAATTAGCTTCTTTGAAATAGTGAAAATATGAATTGGTATCTAAACACAAAGCTGCTTTAAGCATAACTTTATAAAAGCAAGAAGGGAAAAAAAGCACATAATTCTGTAGTAAAGAAAATATTTTACCTCAACAGCCATAATGATAATAGCAGCTTTCTTTTTGATGGTCGAGTTAGCAGGAAGATTTGTTAAGGAATGAACACCCATTCCAAGACTACTAATAGGTGGAAGATCAAGCCAGTCAGGGTCCCGTATCCCACCCATACAATCTTTTGCCATTGGATAGATTGTACCATTTCCATCTCTAAGAATAATTGGAGATTCCTACATTTGGGAAAAAGGTTTTATCATTAAGTCTCCACAATTTATAAATATTATCCTTCCCAAAAGGTCCAGTTCTGCTTGACTGCTAACAGCGACAACAGTTTACCTAGAATTCTCATTTACGCCATTGTCTCCTATCATTACAAGTGTTGCAGCATAAGGTATCAGATTCCAAAAGCCTGAAACGTGATTAACACAGTGAATACTATCAGAAGTTATCTTCTTTATGAAACATTACCAATGGAACATATAGTATCTATACTTTTAGCTTACTTAAACGCCCCAAAGAAAGTTGAATATACTGAAAGAAAACATTCAAATTCAGTTCTTTTGCCAAAAACGTTTCCTTCAACTATTCTAAGCAAAGTGTATCGTGTCCATGGAAGTTACTGAAACAGTTTTGGCGTTTTTTTCTCAGCCCTCCTCATGGATGCCTGGACAGTGTAATCAAGCTGTATAATCAGACAAAATAAGATACTTAACACTGGGTAGGTAGAAAGAGTTGCACAAAACCTCGATATATCATTTTTAGCATCAAATACAGATTTTTTTGTTTTGGTTAACATTTCCATTTATTCTCAAGAGCAGATGTTCATCTGACCCAATTCCAAAATATAGCTAGACGACAAGTTTACACTAACACAGGAACTACTCTGTCAAGTTTTCTTCCCCCTTTTTTACCTTTTAGTCAAGGTAGAATTAGAGTAAGATTATTAAAAGTGCTTAAGTGAGTTAGATTGTTATTCCCCTTGTGCCTTCAAAATATTAACGGTTGCAGCAAGTCTTTCATAACCCATTTGAAGACCTATTTCTTCACCAGTCTTTGGAAAGATGATGGAAGTGAAGCGCAGCGAGTTTAAATGATTGAGATACAAAACCACAAACCTGTCCAGCTGTAAAAATAGCGACACTTCTCTCATTCTGACCCAGGAATGCAATGCTGCTAGTAGGGAAATTATTCTCCTGTTCAGCCTTTCCCGTGGCAAGGTCAAATATGCAGTATCGAACCCAGTTCCCAGTTTTTAGAACAGCATGTACGCCTTCAAAGATACATGAAGAAAAAAGTAAATGTCTTTTACTGATGGTATCCAGTAAATAAACTCCTAACTAAAGCACTTTTAAGGAATTCCTAGTATCAGTGGAAATACCTGTTTATGTTAGTTTGACAGGAGTTGTCTTCCACTAGGAAGACAGACAGGTAATAAAGGATCCACTGAGTATCTTACGGGGTAAGTCCTACTTACCTTTTGAATCTACATTTACTGCTAGGATCTCTGTTTTTTCAGGAATACACAGCTTTTTAGGTGTCCTTTGAAAACAGTCAGGAACTTTCGGAGTTCCACCAGTTTTTACAACCTGAAAACATACGTAAAATGTTAAGATGCAGTTAAGCACACAGTGCTGACATTTCAAAATACTGATTGTTGTCTCCATGTTTCACAAAGACATACCTGCAGTTCATCTATTCTGAGCAGCCTACAGTCTTGGAGAAGAGAAGAAGGATCAGGATCTGAATTAGAACTGCTCTGACAGTTTGCATTACTGGAGGTGCCTGGAAATTTCACAGCAACGTAAGCACCATCCACTTTTAGCACCTACAAGCAGAACACATTACAGTTTTACCAAAAGCCTTTAACAGAAACTGTTTAGGTTGATTTGCTTCAAAATAAACCGGACCTCTATAAGGAAAAGAAAAAAGTTGACAATAATCAGTGATAAAATTCTACAGCTCTGGGTCATTAGCCTAGTTGTTTTGCTAAAATTACTGAAATCTTAAAAACTTGGATATCTTAATGACCCTGAATCAGATTAAAGATCGCTCCATTTCAACATCCTATGTCCAACAAGAACACAACCAACTGACTTACAGAAGCTCCCACCAAAACTTCCCTGGTATCTTTCCAGCTTCCACTTACTGGCTACAGCAGGACAACTTCATGTTTAATAGCCTGGACAGACCCTTCTCTTATTAATTCGTCCAAACACTTTCAGAAATAAACACTATTCTTGTGGCAATGAGATCCATACATTAGCTAACTATTCAACAAAAACCATCGACACTGAGCCTCTTACTTCATTAAGTGCCCATTAGCTACAAGAAGCAGGAAATCACTCTTTTTTTTTGGCCCCACTCCTCAAGGTGACTGTGCATAGCAGAAAAAAGAAGTGTTGGTTCATGGATCAATTACCTGTTCCTTACACTCAATGATAACGTTCTCCACATAGTCCCTTAGGACCGAAGGATACAGACAAGTCTATCCAGACATACTTCATGCATCTGTGTCTTCGTCTGCCTCCCAAGGAAATGAAAGTTATTCAACCCCACACTGACACAGTCACTTCTGAGATTGTAAGCCTCTCTAAAGAGTTGCTGCCACGCATATCTAATCAGAACTGTCAAAATAAGTTTCCTTGATATAGAAACATCTTATGCTACCACCAAAGAGCAAGGCCCTTTGAGTTTACAGCTGAATCTATAACTTTCTCAAAAGCAAAACAAAGCTAAGAGGGAAGGTGTCAGGTGGAAGGGCAGATAATGTTTTAATTTTGAGTAGAAATAAGGTCTTGGAATGCTCTCAGGCTCGATCAGAACTAAATACAAGCAACCGTCAATCTTGATTAGACCCTAATTTCTCAACAGTTTCTACATAGAGAGTGCTTGCACAGCAATATTAAAGATCTGGATGTAATCAACTTTATCTAAATCATCCCTGACAATAAAAACCGCCTGTCAAATTTTCAAGATAGTATAGGTAATAAAAGTCCAGGCATTTCCATGTTTTCTCCCAATTTCTCTAGCTAGGTGAAGCCTGTCAAGTGCACTATAGAAAAGGATTTATTGACAAGTATGAAAGTATTAGCACATTTTTTCTAACAAAGATTATTGTGGATAGAGTCAGAGCACTAGCAACTTCACTCTAGTAGGAGAGTTCCTAGTTCTAGTAGTAGAGCATCACAAGTGGCTGTAAGAATACTACCTCAAAATTTCAAAATTCAGGCCTAGTCAAAAGATTCACAAACATTAACTCTGATCTAGACTGCACAAAGACAGATTTCTATTGAGACTTGCAAGACAGCACTCTAGACAAAAATTGTGATTTGGTCAAAAAATTTAATCAAGGTACATTCAGATGTTTTTAAGGTAATCAGACTAACTTGTAAGCCTGAAATCACATGCTAATGGTTCAACCACAGCTTCTAGTCTGACATGTCGAATTTTTTTTTTAATGACTAAATGTTGCTACAGAAGCTTTGTAAATTTGGGCTGCTGCTGAAAACAGAAGATTCTAAATGGTCAACATCTAGCAGGGCACATGAAATCTTGCTTATAGTTTCACATTTGTAATCAGGGCGTGGGGGGAAGGAACACACCTCAAGAAATGACACAATCCCCAAATATTTAACATATCCTACCTTCATAACTAAAAGTTTTTGCAGTCTGAACCTCTGTACATATTCAAAAATTATTTATGCACAGAACAGTCAGATTGTTCAGAAGGCAGATCCTCTTTGTGCTTAATTCAGCTCACAACAAGCTAAATTACAAACATTACAGTTCCACAGTGAACAACATGAGCTACTCTGGAGCCTGTTGGAGAACACTGCAAAGAGTAACCCTTCTGCAGAGAGAGGCGCCTCCAGTCTTTTTCATACAATTGTACCACTGATCCAAACTACAAAGGGAACATATAACAGGGCATAAACCGTATTTCTGTCTTTAACCTGGACACCACTAAGCAAAGAAACTTTAGTTTTGTCTGCTGGATTCTACCTAAACTCTAAAGATAAAGTGTTACAAAACTGTAAAAGGAAAAAAGTGAATGACCATACACATCACTGGAAAAGGACAGCACACTTTATGAAAAAAAAAAAAAGTATCTGTGCCATAAACAACTGATATAGCATAGACTCAGTACCAATAACTGTATGCAGAAGACAGCCCATTTACTGGTTTTAGTACTTCAGTGAAAATATCAACATATAAAAATTCAAACTCTTCTATATTTATTATAGTAGTTCTTCTCGATGCAGCACACAGACACCTTTACAACTGTATACAGAAATAGTAAAACAGCCTGTGCTGAAAATCTTAGGGCCTAAACCAGGAAGAACAGATAAGGACCACAGGGGCTTTCCCAAAGCTGGTACTAGAGGTAAGCAATGGTTTCAGTGACTTCCATTAGATCTCAAAACCTCGTTTACAGAAACTGAAGTGTTTCAAAAAATTAAGTTGCTCCATGCTTGCTTTTGCAGAAATGCCCTAAACTTGATGAGGAAAATTCATTGTGGCCCTCCTCCTTCCAAAGATACTGCTCAAAGCAAATCTTCCACTGCTGCACAAGTAAACCCATCAGGGTTGCAAGTAAAGTAACTCTGACTAAACCCAACCGTCTTCTGTTGTTTTGATAACTTTTTTTTTTTTGGATCTTCTACGAATCAAGCAGAAAGCAACCCAACCTCTTCATTTTGTGGAAAACCTTTATTGGCTTTCCTGTCGCTCTTATTTTTGAAAAGCACAGCAGAGAACTGTCTAGATGACCTAATCCCTCCTAACATCACACAACAATGCCAAAGGAGAAATGGATTATTTTCCTCTATAGCACTTCTACTCAGAGCAAAGGTCTACTAGAGAGTAAATGAAAAAATTACAAGGACAAACAAACGGATTTTCTGGAGTAATAAATCAAATAACTTTATAGCCATATTAACAAAGCATCTCATTTCTAATCGAAACATTTCTGTTCTTCAATTGCCAGAACATGAGATTCACCCAAATGTTCAGCTGATGTGTACGTAAAAGTCAGTCACAACACATGTAACACTTCCAAAATCTCACAGGACATGTGGAAGCTTATTGCTCAAGTTCTGGATAAAACGACATCTGCTTTTCTTAATATTGTGGTTCAACTTTAAGCACCAGAATGTTATTTCTTAAGATTCATCACTTATTCACAACACATTCAGTCTATTACTACCATTGTGTTATGGAGAAATAAAAATGCAAAAAAAGTCAAACTAGTCAGAAACATTCTCAAGCATCCCCAAAACTATGATTCTTTTAACAGTTAGCTTATCTAAACGGGAAAACTTTTTTTTTCTCCCTCCCCAAAGATGGTGGCACTGTGTATTTTAGACAAACCTTGCCAACAGGAACATTCTTAACGTCTTCCACAAACACAACTTCCCTCAGAGACCACTGCTCTTCATTCACCTTCTCCTCCTCTTTTGGGGCAGGAGTAGATCGTCGCCGCTCTGAGACAGAAAAGTTATTACCAAAAAAAATACCTGAAATACTTAATCAAAGCATCAAAATGCAATGTTCAGTAGACACCAAAAACTTCCTCCTCCTAAAATTATCAACAGTCAAATATAGAACTTAACCAGAGGTTAACAAGAATCCGACTTCAGAAGTCAGAGCTACCTAGCATTGTATCATGCCACTTTCATGTTTTTCTAAGAAATTAGCACTTATAAAGCCTATCTGATAAACTAAGCAATTTTTAACGACGTTTAAGCAAATAATTAGAATACAAGAAATTGTTTTGGCAGGGCTCAGATATTCATGCTGTAAGTAAAAAGGCTGACACTGCAAGACCCTTCAATTCAGCCCTGCTACCGTGCTTTATATCACCCTCACAAAAAGTCTGCTTGTTCTCCATGTATGGATTTTTTGGTAAATATCTAGAAAAGCAGCAAATGAGGCAGAAAATAGCTATTTGGGCTAACTGCAATACAGTTAGATTTGCCGTGAAGACATTACCTGAACAGTAACTGTAGTACACTCAGAATTTAAATGCGTAACATGGCTAAATTAACACTGACACGAACCTTTCATCTCCTGAACTGAGTATATAGTATAACCAATATTATCAGCATATTTAAAGTAAGCAGCAGAGAACTTCCAAGATAACTGTGAAGTTAACTTCAAACACTAGTTCAAAATCCCATGCAAAGTTATAGTCAATGAGAAATTACAATTGAAAACTGCAAAAGAGAAGAAATCAGTAGCAAAATACTCTACCAGCAAAATTAATTACCACTGCAGATCTAAGCACACAAGACTCTTGGTCACTGAATGAGGCCATTTGATTCTCTAGGTGACCATCTCTTAAAACTGCAGTATGTGGAAGAAACTGGAGCAGAAAAATTTCTTCAAATGATGGCATTGTAATTAACCCTTTAAAAATGTATGGGTTTAAAAATGTATGGGTTTAAATGGACAAAAAAAATGCTTAAGAGGTCAGTTGCATGAATTCTAATGCAGCCTTTTAGGTTTTTAAGTGCAACTTGTACTATAAAACTTCTCTTGCTGCTTTAGTAAGGGATGTCTAGTTTTAGACTTTTTATGTAACAGACGACAAACTACTGCTTTATGCACTGAAGTTCACCCACAAGGCAAGTTGTGCAAGAACAGCTTAATCTTGAGAAAGAAATTTTCCAAAACAAGTTCAACTCTAGGCTGTAAAGAAACTCACTATCACATTGTAATTAAACAGAAACAATTTTATCTTCAGACTTCCTCTTGATCACCTCCTGAAAGATACTTCTGATTCTGGGAACTAAGTGTCATGCTTGCTTAGATATGCCTTACATGAAGTAGTCACTGCTTATACTAATACATTTAAATTTAACACTGACAATTCACTGATTATCTAAAGCCTTCACATATATTGCAGTTCAGACTGAAAGACTGAAAAGGATTCTGAAATTAGTACAGAATCTTTGTAGAACTACCTTTTATGAAAGCTTCTTATCTACACTAGTATGAGCTACACATTACTCACTATATGGCATTGATGCACTGCTTGCTATTGAAGATGCATCGCTGCAAGTGGAAGCCGGGGATGGCGGAGGACCCATCTCAGTTTTCACTGGTTCCTGTTTGCTTTCAGGTCTAGAATAAAATGTGTTAGAATGATGAAAGGAAAAGGTGAAATCTTTTCCGTGACAATGGGCAAAGTCTCAGTGTGTGCCAGCCACATTCCTTTAATAGTACTTTAACGAAATAGCTTCGTACTTGCCACAAACATCCTGACAAGGCTGTACATCTGATGTCAGGAATGCTGCTATGCTGGGATTAGCTTTACAACATTAACTGAGCACAATATTACAGAAAACAAACATCCTTAGATGCGCTTCATTTGAAGACGTGAAGAATTACTAGCTTTATGCAGTAACCTGAAACTCTAGAACTGCAAAACTTTTTCAAGCTTTTCTTGAAACGGTTTAAATCTGTTTTAAGAAACATTTAAATGGCAATTGTCAACCCAATGATTTATTTTTTTTTCGAACTATGGAGGGGCTGAAACGGGTCTTCTCAACGCTATGAAGAAGGGCCTGAAAACAGCTCCATAACAATACCACTTTCAGTTATTCAAATATAAAATCTTGGAAACTTTATGAAACACTGCAGAGAAGTCTTCATTTAATATTCCTTCTGCATTTCACATTTCCATAGTGGTTTCATAGAGCTGAGCGCCTTTCCTGCAGTGAGCATTTCTGCACATTTAGCAGAGTTTACAAGAAAGGTAGAATCTTATAAAGAAGGCAAAAAGTTCAAACCAATAAAAACCTGACCTTCTTTTCAATTTTTAAACAATCACCAATTCAAAGAGAATATCAACGAAATGCTCTGTGTGCATGCGTGTCTGTTCTCAACACTTACTTTGCCTCAGTAGTTTTGCTAGCTTTCTCCATGTTTTTCAAGCTCTCGGGTGACCGAAGTTGAAATCGACAGCTGTCATTCATGTTCCAAACAGATTCCATTAACACGCCCACTTTAGGAATTCCAGCACTGATTGAAAAAGCAACTGCTCCAGCATGATAGAGAGGGTTATTTCTTAAACACACCTACAGACAGAAATATTTGTTTCTATGAAAACAATGGATTATACTGAGGGAAATCACATAGTCATGCATCTTCTTGGTGACGTACACAGTAGTCAAAAAATAAGAAAACTTATGGAACTACGCACTTTGCGAGGAAAAAAGATGCTGTTGTGCAATTCACAGCTGAAAGCAACAGCTTTAGCAGTGCAACTGTTTAATATATAGTATTTAGATGCTCAACCACAAAAGAAGCAAATAAACCGATAACAAAGACTCATCCCAGAGTTGATAAGAATGGATTGAGAACCAAAAGAAAGGTACTCCCCAGGAAGGAGCTGGTTTGTCTCATACTAGTTCTAATACTAATCACAAAGAATCCTACACCTCTGTATCAACCTTTTTGGTAAAGGCTTCAAACCAAAGGCTAATCCCACCACAATAACAAACCCAACCCAGACTAATATTGCAGGCATTTAAATGCCAAATAATTTATAAAGCTACGTGCTCTATTGGGAATCATATTTCTACACTTACTTTCTCTGAAAATACAGAATCAGAGGACAGGTTAAAATAGAAGTACTTTGTACGAGTACAGCTTGACCCTCTATTTGCAGCAATAATCATACTTCTAAAACAATAACAACACTAACAGGACACATCAATTTACAGTCATATAACTAAAACACACTATTTTAAGTCTATTTTATTAATATAACTTGGTGCATAACAAGAATAGAACCTAATTTATTTTGTTTTGTTTAAGAGCAGGCTGTAAGCTTATCATATAGCACTGTAAAAATGCCACTTAGGACAGTTGCACTTGCCTGGGTTCCAACGGTTATGTTTGGCATGGAGGAGATGCCAGCACTAGACTTAGGCTTTTTATTTTTTGCTCTGGCCTTTTCTAGCATTTTCTTCCTTTGGCTGAAAGGAACCACACCCCTGCAGAAAAACACATGTTATTTTTTAGAAGGCTATGAAAGAAATGCTTTGTTTATAACTTTCAACAGTTTATTCCTTCTGCTTAATGCAGTCATGATCAAAACACACAAGTCTCTGTGCCACCTTCTCCAAAATCTCAAAGCACTGTAGAAATGACATCTTTGTCTACATTCACCCCCACTTTCCAAATTCACCTCAACTGGCCAATTTATTAGGAGGAGGAGGAAGAGGGAGAGCATGTAACATATGTCACTGCCAAATGGCTTTCCTTCAAAGTAGTCCAAAATGCTGCAAGACCTCTGTGTCAGATGGTAGGCTCCAGTCACAGCTTTCAAGTTGTGGGTTGTCCCCTCTGAACTTGAAGATATCTTTCCCATGACTAGTGATAATTTCCAGAATTTGCAGTCACTGGGGAACAGGATAAGCTTTTTTGGTTTTAAATTCTAAAAGCCTCATGTTCTCCCTGGGGACATGGCTGAAGGAGTCTAGGACTCTTATGACAGGGGAAAAAAGGACACTGCTTTTGTAATTGGATCCACTCAGTTTAGCTGAAAATAATGCCTACACACACAGTTAAGCATGCTTATTATTTTGATACTCCACGTTTTAGTCAGTGCGTTATAAGTTAGATGCTTTTATACGAAAGCTTCCTTCATGATAAGTAAAACATGAAAAGCATCAGTCCTGTGCAACACTGGAAACTGAAATCCTGTCTAGTGTACTACAGACCATTGTAATCATGGATATCAATAGTAACAGAAGCTTCTGCCTACATCAATCTGACTAACATAAAATCACCACTGCTGACATTTAACCCCTCTCAGAAAGGACATGTTAGTTAATAAATAAACAGCTTTCAAAGATTACATATACATGCTGGTAAGTCTTTTTATATATTGCCCTGATTACTCTAAAAGCAGTAAAGATGGCAGGTTCTAATAGCCAGGTAGCTCCACAGTTACGGCTTATTAGTTTCTATACTAAGAGTAATTACTCTAAGTGAGGTATGTCAGCCATGACATAATGAAAGGGCCAAGGACCAGACAGCTGTAGTTTTGAGATTTGGGACTAGAAGCTGGAAGAAAATACGTCTGTGTAAGTTTACAAGCCTAGCTATGATTGTACTTAAATATTTTCCAGACAGTTACTAGAATTTAATGAGAAAGCTGTTTCATAGAATCAGTTTTCAATGTTCTGATTTCCAGCTCATCATCAAGGATTTAACTCATCCATGCCTAAAAGCTACTTGAGCTTTGGGCATGATATGTAATGCAACGACTCCTGACATGCTGACAAAAATAATGCATACTGACAATGCATTAGTAATATTCAATGAATTTGCTCAAATATGAAATTCATTTCAGAGCTCTTCTGGGAGTGTTATTTTTGAGAGTTGTGGGGTTTTTGTTGTTGTTTTGTGGGTTTTTTTTTTTAAACATAGGCTTCTTAATTATCAAATTGTTAATTAAAATATTTTAACTAACATTTCATATTTTACAATGTTTAAAAGTGTTATATTTTAACAACAAGCTCCAAAGGGAGCATCTGAGGTTATTTCTCCCTTCTTTAAGATTTGGACCACAAACTAACAGACCAAATTTTCTATCAGTCTGACAGAAGAATGTGGAACTCATACGTGAGAAAGTTTTTCCCTTATTTATAATCTGAAAAACGCCTGGAAGGCATAAAGAAGATTATTCTCTGATACTGCGAAGTAGTGATATATCTGAATGCTAAAGCACTTATACACATCTCCTAAAAGAACAACCTTTTTCTCCTGAAGATGTTATAACTGGATCCAAAAGCTTTAGGCCTTAAAGGAGAGAATAAATACACTTCAAAAAGGAAACCTAAGCTCAAGTGCAGAGTTACAGAACTCAGAACAACTGCGGTTCAGTAGTTTTGCAATGCTTCTCAGAGCCAAGGGCATGAAGCTGTCCAGTGGATCTATACTGCTGTACATAAACACAGTATTTACTTACCACCAATATAAGTTGTTCTCTAGTTGAGCACAAGTATAAAGAGCACAACAATGTAAAGAAACAATCCGTTCACCCTGAAGCTCCGAGTATGTCTGTGCAGTGTGCTCTAATTTAGAAGCTACGGAGCTTAAAGTTTCATCTACCCACGTAGCAACCTAAGGAAGAAGGGAAGAAAGGAACAGAGAAGGTAGGGGAAAAAAAAAAAAGAAAAGTTGCACCTTAGTTGCACCTTTAATGTAATATTTACTGGTTTTGAAAGTTAGAAAAACAAAACAAAAAAAAAACAAACCCAAACCAAAACCCAAACAATTATTCACTCTGGGATTTTGCCCCCTACCACCTTTTTTTCCCCAGAAGTTAGCTTTTCAGGACTTTTTTTCCCCCTTCTATTTCCAGTCCCCAACAAAAATAAAAAAAAGAAAGAAAAATACAAAGAGGTGTCAATAAAATACTCGAACAAGTGTACATACTTTACCGAATCACTTTCAAGTTCACTCTTAACCAGTCAGAAAAGCATATTTAGATAACTAACTTTATAGGACTGAAAGCTTCAATGCCCTTATTTTTTCTAGTAAATACATACAGAACATTAACAAGTTTCTCTATTCTTAAGCTATTGTCAGTTTCTACTGTAATGGCAAGAAGTCAAGTATTTCAGACTATCAGGTAAAACATGTATCTTTTCTTTGATTCAGCTGTAAATCTGCCAGATTTTTTAAATTATTATTATTGTTATTATTATTAATTTTTAGCTTTTTGCATTTTTACAAAACACCAGTTGGGTTTCTGTTTTGTTTTTACATCTGATAGAGGAAAAGAAGTGGAATGAATAAATGAATGAAGTACTTTCTAGTACTGATGAAGCTGAAGAATCAAATTCTCTATAACATATTGCAAGTACCCAAAAAAACCCACCTTTGTCAAATTCAGCAACCAGCACACATATCATACCTTGTTATTTTCAGTGGCAACAGTTGCTCTAATACTATTTGCAGAAAGCAGCACTATTTTTTCATTGGTTAATCCCAAGAACATGGCTCGTGGATGATGTAGCGAAGGATTCTTTGGAAACAAAAAAATATTTTAGATATTCAAAGCACACAACTCATTCTGAAGGTAAGAATTTAAAGATCTGCAGTACCTGTGCATTTCTGTAAGGCTCTGATTCACTCCACTTCCATTGGTAGAGTTCTCCTTTACTGCTAACAGCCACAAGCTCAGAATAGAGAGCTCCAATAGAAATAAACTTTGTTCCATCCTACAAATACAGAAATACACAGTCTAAGACAGCAATTATAAATATATATAAAAATATATAAATGCAAAAAAATGAATATGTAACTGTGTTTTTTTCAGAGTTCCCGTGAATGTTGAACTTGAAAAATATAGATATAACCAGCTGTCTGAAGCTCAGCATGCCCTCAAATACACACACACACACACACACACACACACAAAAAAGCATTCTTGCTTTTGACAGAGTAAAGGAAGAAAGAAATACATATTATTTTCCTGAAGTTTAGCAATAACACATTCATGGCAATTAACTCGGACAGTTTATTGAGAGCTTCCACAGTATTTGAAGAACAAAACACTGCTCACAGGATTAAAGACGGGAAGATCCCTTGACTTCTGACATTAAAAAAAAAAAAAAAAATTTCCTCTAATTCTGGCTTTTTGAACTGAACAAAAAAGCAACATCATTTCATTATTTCATTCTTAAGTGTACTCATGTGGGGATTTTCCAACTACCTGAGAAATCAATTGCCAACTTCACTGCCTCATCAATTAAACAATTCTTATCTTTCACTTCTGAAGGTAAGTAACTACAGACAAGATAAAGTTAAAAACAAACAAACAAAAATCGGCATGCTACATGTCCCATTAATGCATCGTTATGACTGATATGCTGGAAAAGGTTGTGATTATGGCTTATCCACCCTCCCCCCCACTCCACCCTTTTCTGCTTTTCAACTTTTTACCAGAACTCATATGGCATCTTTCTACTACTTAGGTAGCACCAATGCTCAATTGCTTCATCCTGTACGTTACCTGGATCTCACAGGCCTGTTTTCCCCCCTCTTAGATTTGGTTCTCTATCAATGTTGCGGCCTTACAATCTCACTTTTTCCAAATTCCTGTTCCCCCTTGCACTGAAAGGAATCTCAAACTACACACTTGTGAATTTGCATGATTTCACAACACATTTACTTCTGTTTACTGAGAAACGTTTGTAAGGCCCAACCATTCACTGCTCCTCAGCAAGTGCAGCTACAGGACAACCATGTTCTTTCTAAACTTCTTTACTGGTAACAACTAAAACTTTCCTTCCACTTAAGGAAGAATACAGCTTTTAAAAAATGAAAGAACAACTTAAACTAGTATAAAAATCAAATGATGTCTTCTACGGCTACAAATCTGAAAGACAGAAACATGGTAACTGGTCTTCTCTGTAGTAGTTATCTCCCCAATCAATATCTTTAGCTGACTCTCTTTGGTTACAATATCCCACATTCAAGCAATTCAACCATCTGATGAGAAACCGAGTTCTTGTCAAAGCATTAAAAAAACCCCCCACCATCCAGTACATTTATCTGTCGCCAAAATTGAGAGACTTTTCTGTCAGACACATAAGTTTACAAGTGGAAACATTTTTAGTTTCATAAATCAGGATTCATACAAATTTTTTTATTATTTTTTTTTTACTATTTTCATGCCCAGAAGTGCACATTTCAAAAGGTGTGAGCATGCCCTCGAGTAACACGGGATTCAGTACATCTCTTACCAATAGCTCAAAACGTATTTATCAGTATTTTGGGAAAGAAAATAAAGAAGGCAGCAGGAAAGGACAGAAGCAATTACAAGCAATTCTCTTTTATACCCTGATAACAGGATCGAGGATTAGTTAAATCATAAGAGAATTCCTTTGTTCTGGAGGGCATCTACTAATACAGCACAGAAGTAGCATGAATGCTAATCTGAGTCATGATTAATACTTGCCATCATATAAATATTGCATATTCTGAGAAAGAACTGCCATGAGAACCTACTGCAGTTCAATGAGATGCATCTCTGCTTCATAAGCATAAATGAATCTTCAGAGGTTATCTAGCCTAATGCCTCAAAGTTAAGTATGGAAAGCAATTATTTTTTGCTCCAAGACAGTATCATTATGACTTTTTAATCTTGATAATGTGTTTTACAAGTTTTTATAAACAGTTTCATACCACAAGCTCCACACTAGAGAGACCTGCCATTCAAAATTTTTCACTCCCTTCCATCAAAATATTAGCAGCTGTGATCTAAATGCTACAGAACCAATGCTACACACACCTCCATGAGGCCCTTCAAAAGACTAACAGCACCAAGATGCAAGAACAACATGGTTCTGTCATCGGAGTCTTATGCATTCAACTATAAATTCTGACTTCAGACCAGAGAAATTACATACTTGAAGACGACTCACATTGCTGACAAAACCTTAATATCTCAATATCTAAATAGAATATACCTACTTGAACAAACTAAAGGCTCAGCTTGCACCTAACTACAGTCTAGCAGGAAAATAACGGCCATACTTGCCATACTATGGAGCGGCTCTGATATGTGGCAGTGTAGACTAACAGTACTATAGTCCAACAAGATTTGAACTATCGGAAGAATTCATTCATTGACTTGAATTCTTGACCAATTGATTTCACTTATTTGGTGGAGTAAACTCAGTACCTATGCAACATGTCCCAACAGCATCAGTCTCAGATTGTGAGTGAAACTGATGTATTTGGGAACACTATCAGCTTTTCAAAAGTTTCAGCCATTCCTCTCAGGTTGGTACTTTACCTCCCATAAACACAAGTTAACTGTCCTCATCACTGACTACTACAGTTCTGTCTCAAATGCCAAACGTCAAAATAATGACAAATGAAGGAAATCTATTTGCAAACAAGATTGGTTATTTTGTAGCGATTCCTCATGTACTTTAATCTCTCCCCTAGCTTATTGTCTCTTCCATTAACATTTCAAGACCTCCTTTCTAATTTTCAAAATGGAAGAAACATCTGGACCAGGCTCTCAGCTAAATCACCTCCCTCAGGATTCACCTTGAAGAATTTCTGCTGGAAAATACCAACAACAAAACTTTGGAGTGGGGCTACAGAATGAAAGATGTAGAACAATTTCTTACGAATGTTCAGCTGAAGGACAGGATGAAAAGTTTAACTATTTTTGGAAAAAGATGAAAGGCTTTTCCTTCATTTAACTGGAAGCTAGGGTTTATATGAGTGCATATGCAAACAGGTATTCTGGCAGAAGATTAGTATATTTAAATCGATCGAGCATGCAATCAGCTATCACAGCAAGTTAATTCCATAAAAGATGCCCAATAAAAGACTGCGACAATTGTCCTAGGGCAGGATCTGCTGAGTTTGCAAATTACAAAAAAAAACATCCAGGGGAAAAAACCCAAACCCTAATTTTGTAACTAAGTTTCAGGGCCAGAGAGAGGAATAGGGTTAAATGGAAAAACTTTCCTGAAGTAGTAAAAAACCAGAACAAATCCAAAAAAACCAACAGTAATAATGGCTATAATAATGTTGCCAAAACACAGCAGTGGAAATAAAAAAGTTAAGTTAGTATTCTAAATCTAAACTACATTTATTCTCTGACGCTAAAATCTCTCTCTACTGAAGCCAGAATACTCTCTACCGTTATGAGAGAACAAGGGGGACAAATACTGCCAATTTTCACTGACACAGAAGTTCAACATTACTGGCTGAAAACAACAAAATCACACTTTAATCATAAAAGTTCTGATTGGGAGAGCAACTCTTAGACAAACATTTTTTTTAGGTGTCTTCATTTCTCAGTTTGAGTGCCCTAATGAAGATGATAGCAGCTAAAGGTGAGCTGCTGCAAGCAGAAATAAGCCTCAAATTCATCTTTCTCTTCAAGCTCACTATCTATATTTAGTCTGAAAGCAAAAACCAGAGACGCAGAAAAAGAAAGCGTGACATATCAAAATAGTGACCTCACAGATACTGTAGACAGATAAAAATGTGAACACTAGAAAGACATCCCAAGTCCATAAAATTTGGTCTAATAACCATAGATTATCACTTCCATTCCTAGGAATTTTTTGTTTGTTTGTTTGGGTTTGTTTTGGTTTTTTAAAGGAATTTCCCCAGGCATCTAGGTAACTCTTAAAGAAAATAACTACAGATAGACAGTTAGCTACATGAAGCTGGTGTTCCCATTATTCTTATACATCACATGGGAATTACTTCTTGCCTTGAAAACATAATTGGGGTTACAAAGAAAACCATCTAATCAAAGCCAAAGGGATTCTGGAGCAACCGATACTCATTTAATTTATGGGTCAACTCAAAACACAACCGCAAATAAATGTCAACTTTCACTGTTGTTGCTTAAAAACCTGATCCACTCAAACTGAAAGTATCTCTGGGAATAGTAATGCTAATCAAAAATAGGTTTCCTTGATGAAGGATAGTTGAAATTGTTTCATGAGTTTTCTATTGCCTATTAAATGCTTTGAGGACTTAAGTAAAAAAAAGAAGAAAAAAGAAAAACCCCAAACCTTATGATCTACAGCAGTGCCTTCAAAACACATGAAGAAAATTAAATCAGTAATAACAGAAGTGCAGCTATAAGGGTATAACTACTTATTTATAATTTTCCTAAGTCCATAATAAAGAACATGCTTTATTACATTATCTCACATGAACTGAGATGTAATATCCGAAAAGGAAACACAGAGTATTTACTTGGAAAAAATAAACAGATGTATCGCACAGCATGCAAATAAAATAGGAAAAAAATTTTCAATACCTTATCTGGCCACCACTGCAAGTCTTCTCCTAAAGAAACAGGACTTTGAACGGGTGTATTCTTCTTGTCCAGGTTTGGTTCCCCTTCCTTACTTGTAGAGCCTCTCTCATTATCAAATGAGGCTCCATCAAGCCACCTTCGTTCACGCAAACGTAAAACGGACTCACGTTCACGCAACAGCTCAGAGTCTCTCTCTAAGGGAAGAAGGAGAACTGGTATGCAATTGGGTCACACCAGTGGGATAAAAGTAAGCCACTCTCTAGTAAAGACCCTTCAGGATGCAACTAACAGCAGTTAAATCTACTCACACAGATTAAAATTCAAGTCCTGACATGCAACATTCAATATATTAACCCTTTCAAGCATATGTACTTTAGAATTACTAAACATAAAAATAAGCTAGAAATAAAATCTTATAGTTTTGTGCACTATAAAAAATGCTAAAGCGTTTTCACTTACATCATAAGAGGCCAAATACATTTAACATTGCAATTTTAAGTTTTATCGTACAATATGCAGAGTTCTGTAGTAAAGTTTTATCAATGTAGTAATAACACAAAAAAATCTAAGTCTATATAGTCTGTTAGATATCTTTATGCAAACCAAAAAAGAGTATTTATTAGAGAGTTTCATAATAACTTTCCCCCAAAAAACAGTGATTCGAAAAGGTTAAAGAAAGCAAGCATTAAAAAAAGCTCTGATATACATGTTTGATAATCCAACCCCTTTTCTTTAAAGCAATATTCCATAGGACTGGATTTAATAAATTAAAGTGTATCTGTTTTGAGTAGATCAAATGAAAACTTTTCACGAGTCAGACAAGTTTTAAAAAGGATCCTTGTAGGAAAATGTTCCTTACCAAAATGCTTCCCCTCCAATTGGCCTACAAACTGTCTAAAGCCAGTACTCTGCAGTTCGTTCATGCAGATAAATTTTTTAAATCAGGTAATCAAACTAACTTTCCAAGAGTCAACTATGCATGGAAAATAAGGATTATAAAATTCGTGGTAACGTCTTATATAGAATAACCTTAGGAAAGGAAAAAAAAAGGAGGAATTTAGGAGTTATGTCAGATGCTGAATATTCGTACATGCACATAATGCATTTAACCTATTAAGTACTTCACTCAGGCTCACAAAAGTCAACTGGAATTACAGGTATGAGATTATCACATTATTATATCATAGTTTCAACAAATTACGCCAAGTCTTGGGTCTTTTGCTGTATTAGACAAATGGGAAGGTTTTTACATAAGCCAAACGCGACAGCTTGTCCTATAGATACATTTCATCAAGTACTGTACTTATGATTTTCTAGCAAACAACACGGTGACCCCTGACTAATAATTTTGTAACAGAAACCTACATGTTCAGCAATTAATATACTAAATCATGTTTATGAAAGGCAACAAAACTGTATGAAACAAACAGTCACAGCAGAGGTTGGATTAACAGTTTGGAAATACTCTAGGCATTTGCGCAACAGCTTCAAAAAGAAAGGCAATTGCTGCATGGTCGGTTACAAATCTTTTAAGTGTAATATGCTTTTTAAAAAAAAAAAAAAACAAACCAAAAGAAAACTAAACTGCCTTAACACTGCTCAAGGAGGTTTTTTATCAGCTGCCAATAGTTCTCTTTATCCAACTACAAAAATGCTTCCAAAAAGTAAAATTTAGGTTTCTTCTCCCTCCTTAACACCTAAAGTTCCCCATTCCATAAACGTAACTTCTGTCATGGAACAATTAAGGAAATGTGAAGAATAGCGAACAAAGAGCAACCCAAAAGAAAGGTGGGGAGAGGGAGGGGAGAAAATATTAAGAATGCTGCATGTCATCAATTGTTACTCATTTTTGAGCCAAATTAAATATTTGTAACGCAATCTATGTATTAGTAGGTACTTACACTATAGTTTAAAAAAAAACTTAACATGCAAAAATTTTATAACACCTTGCAACACCAATGATCAACAATTAGACTTAAAATACATGACTATCAAGGTTCTTGCAGAACTTACCTGCTAATAGTCAGAATTCATTAATTATTTTGACGAGTAACAGTCTATTTGTCTACTCTATATTTGACAACATATCACAGTCTACTTTTGCATTAAATCAGAATCTAAACCACCAGTGTGTACTAGCACTAGCTTTTTCCACAGCAAACTACTTATTACAAAGAAAAAAGGTGCAAAATTACCTCTGGATGAGCCTAGCCTGGAAAGTGATGAGCGCCGAAAGGATGGATAACCAAAGTAACTAATATCTTCTGAAAACATAGCATCAGCATCAATAATGACACTTGGGTGAGCAGAATGTATGTCAGCATCCAGAAGAGACATAAGATCCTCTATAAGAGGAGACAAGGGTCTTAAGTGAATAATCAGCTACTTAAAACATCAGCTAGAGAGACCATCAACTAAACAAATATCAAAACAAAAAAATCCTATCTATTAATTGAATTTCTGCTCTTCAGATTCACCAGTGCAAACTCATGTGCCTCCTATGCAACCACATGTACAATCAAGCTTGGCGGACCAGTGAACAAAACCAGTTTCCCTCCAAGAACTGCTCTGTCACTTATCTAACCACATTTCCCAAACAAGACTTGCCCAAAACACATTTTTCTGTAACCCAGAAATTCAAACTTTAGCCTGTCACTTGAAAGAACAAAGCCCTAGGGTAAGATAGATACATACACATACATGTGCACACACACTCATGCACGTAATGCAGAACTGCAAAGATGACCTAGAATTAAGGGAGGACAGAACTGGCCTTCACAAAGCCATGTCTTTAATGTCAAAGACTGTGTTCCTCCATGGAACGTTTCTTTCCGAGAATGACAGACTTGTTTAATTCACAGGCTAGTGGCTTGCAGCTCTCAGTAGAACGCTACGTTCAGAACAAGAACAGTTATCTAGAAAAAGCACTATTTTTTAATACCATGCATTAAAAAAAAACAACAACAAACAAACAAACCAAAAAGATTAATTTAAATACTGCCCTAGCTTCTATGTTGGAAAACTTGAATTTCTCTGAAGTACTGATCACTGTTACAAGTATAAAACAATTTCCTTCCATCTACTAAACTATGGTTACTATCCACACACAAAAGAGGCTGCTGAAAATTCATGTAATTCATTGAAGCCCAGCAGTATGGACTGACAAGACAATTAACCTGACTACCATCTTGCTGCTACGGAAAGGACAGTCCTACTTCCCTCCTTCATCCTTGTGGCAGGTGCCTCCTTGGGGCAAGGTGTGATTTCTAAATCTAGAATTAGCACATTCACCTGGCTTTAAACAATACTTTATAGGGTATAGAAGTAAGGTGGGAAGCAATCTTCAGACTGACTTAACCAGGTAGTCAAATAGAGCCCAACAGCTGGCACCTCACCACATGCAGCAAAGCTGACCAGACCCTACTGCTGCCAATGGAGACAGTTCTACCCCTTCCCAAACTTTCAAGCAAATCTGACTAAAAAGTAGTCAGGCTTCCCAAACAAGGTTTCAGCTAACCCACACAGGCACACAAACCTCACCACCACGCAAGGGAATGGCAGGATAGCTCCTCCTGGCAGCAGGACAACCTCAAATGCTTAAACCACTCATGAAGCTAACGTGACGCTATACAGAGTCCGTTCAGGAAACAGAAGGGGCATGTGTAATTTCAACACATCCAGTTCTCAGCCTCTACTTCAGCAAAAGCGTATAACAAAATAGCAGCTATAAATCAAGGTTTGAAGTTAAATAAAAGCATTCTTAACTGATTATTATGAGTCGTCTTCTCAGTGTCTGGAATGAAGGGGGTATGACCACAAAGGAAAGGGTATCCAAAAACCGGAAAGGAGCCAGAGGTCCACACTTACAGCCAGTATTAATTCACTTAACTGTTCCACTTACTGATATTGGAAGTGTTAGAGACTTTCACACCCCTGTACATCAGAATATTCATCCTTACATTCCTAAACTCTCTTCTCCGGGAAATGTAACACATACCAACTACAACCAGCTGTCTCCAGAAAAACAGCGCTGTAACTAGTGAGAGCTGTGGATTTCAAAGCAAGCAAGACCCACACAAATGCTTTTTGCATTAAATAAGTAATCCTCTCAAGTGTAGTCTGTACTTCTAAAAGCACACCATTTGGGACTCAATGGTTCATGCAGCATGTTTTAGGAAGTCAGCCCTGACAGACTGCTTGGAAATCCTAGTAAAAAAATTCAGACTTGGCAATCAGGCTCTGCCTTACTAAAACACTTAGATCACTCAGAGCGGCCTTACCCTGCCTGGTACTTTGTCTATTTTCCACTGGCTTTCCACAACAATAAAGCAGCAGTACACCTCACCTTAAGAATGTCATCTTGTAAGTACCACACTAAGAACTGGAGACACATCTGAGGCTATTGTATCTCCCAATATTCACACGCTGCTCCTTTTCCCTCCTGCCATACACACCACAACCATCCCTTCCTAGGTAAGCTCCAAACTCTCTACAGTCTAGCAACTTGTTCTCATTCTTTTTTGGTCACTATCCAGCCAAAAATTGAAAAAAACTTCAATCTCTTTTTAAGAACAGGACTGGCCAGTACAGAAAAGAACACTCCAGGCTCATTCAAAATGGAAAGTATGTATTTATTAAGGTAAGCTAAGCCAGAAATCCTCTTGACAGAAAACATATGCTAACTTGTGACATGCTCACACACCTTCCATCACGTCAAGCATCTTGAATTTAGCTGTGTTTCCAAAAAGGAAAGTAAAAAAATCAAGCCATAAGACTTAAGAAACAAAACTACATGGTTTTTTGTTAAATGTGCATGAAGACAAGTGAGAAAGTGAAGCCTTTTCTTACCCTCTTATTTCAGCTTCAAATCAGAATTTAATTTTCTTCCAATATTTCTGCAAAAGATCCCCCTTCTTCCATTTTGTATACCAGCAAACACAGGTGCACTAAAACCAGTAGGGTTAGAAGCCAAATTCACTCCCCTTCAAACATCACTGGAATTTTTTTAGTGCTGTGAAAACACAGATACCGCAAGGCTACATCCAGTTTAAGAATCCAGGGGAAAAACAGTTCTCTAAGACTTTATTTTCCTGCTCTTCAGAAAAATCCCGTGGGATGATATCATTCATCTCTTGTGCCATGTTAGACCAGAATCAGACCGCACCCTCCACATTTAGATGCAATAATTCTGATCAACCTATTTAGGTAAAAAAGTACCTGTGATTCATTAGTAAATACCATTGAAAATTGGAAGGAAAAGGATATCCAGCGCAAAGGAAAAAAGAAAAACAAACAAACCAACCCACCCCAAACCCAATCCCCACCAATAACAAAAATCCAAGTTTCAGTATGCGTGTAAGCAGCAATTCAAGTACTGAGAAAACTTTTATTTTCAATAGCTCCATCCACAGCATTATCACTGGGTTCGTTAGTTGAAGGCGTTGCTTAGATCGATTCTGATCTCAAGCTGTGCTCGCATTAAACCTTTTCCCTTAAGGGGATGATCATAAGTTCTCTCCCTTCTCAGCTGCGTATTTTTATGAAATATTCAAGAATTCAATGTCTTCAGCATCTCCTACTCTTTCAAGTTTGGATTAAATTGGCAAAACTGTGACAGTGAAGGGAGAAAAACATGTATTTTGGTTTCCTAGGAAACCAGACTCAAACAGAACTCCAGAACTCACTTCTTGATAAGATATATTTATTCAAAATATTATCCAACTTGAAGTTCATCTAAAAAAAAAAACAAAAAAACAAAAAAACAAACAACAAAAACCCAACCAAACAAAAACCACCACCACCAACAAAGAAAACCAAACCACACCAACAAAACCACAGAAAAAACATACACCTAATTGTTTTCCCCAAAGGCAAGCCACTGAACTGATCCTACACTGTGCTCCGGTTCCCATCTACCCCCACTACAAGCCAATACAGTAAGTACTGCTGCGACACCAGCCTGTCTCTTCTTTCTTTTAAAAAAAATAATGGATTTTTAAACAAGCTCATCTCAATTCCAAAATCCAAAGTAATCTCCATGTTGCCAAACCTATGTTTCACAAGTCACACTAGCGAGAACCTGCTATATCACGCAGAAGTTACTGAGCTGACATGCACAGATCAGAACGACACAAACAACAAAACTTCTACAGAATTTCTATTCTGAAGATAAACAGAACATAAAGCCCAAAAGAAGCCTCTAATACAACCTGATAATGAGCTGGAAAATTCATCTAGAGACCTTCAAGTCTTTTCTGTGCTAAATGGTCTTGTTCTATGTAGCTTTTACCCTGTTTATTCTCCTTATGTACCTGTTATGTATCAAATGAACTCGCATTCCTCTCTCCTAACTATCATAAAACAAAAGAAACAAGACTAGATTAGAGAAGTCAAAAATCAAAGTACATAAGAGTTCAAAAATAAATACCTAAGAGATACTTATTGAAGGCACTCTGTACAGAGTTCTGCTCTTCACTTAAGACATTCTGAAGAATTCAGAAAGAACTGAGATGTTTTTCGTTACTTTAAAAAAAATTGAGATGCATAACCTTTACAGTACTAACTGGAATTATCACAACTGATGTATTAATGAATTACAATGTGATAAACAATAATTTATTAATTTCATAGTGGTTGGAAAGTATCAGCTTTTTCTTTTTTTCCATTTTTACTTCTAAAATCAAATATAAATCACTCAGTGTTTTACAAAAAGCTTCTCTGTCTTGGAAGGCTTAGAGGAGTAATCCCTAAATTTAAGGGTCACAAAGCATCAGACATGCAGAAGGGAGAAAGTAAAAATTAGCATGTGCTTTTAATCAAAATGCAAGAGCCTTGAAAGTCCTGAGGCAAAAGCAGTCCCGTCATTTGCTTTTTTTGTGCTTGGAAGGAACACAATCGAAAAGCTTTAAAGCATAATTTGACATAATTTTAAAAAAGAAAAAAAAGTAGAAGTTCTTTATCTTTCAGAGTAATTTATAAAAACCTGGCTGAGAATTGAATGCATATAGCATTTATCATTCACATACAGTTTTCTTTTATGAACTCTAATGTTATAGTTCCAAAAGAGCATCCAGAGGCAAGATGACAAGTGAAAGCAAGAAAAGTGCAAAGTTTCTAGAGCAAAAGACTTAAAAAAGGTTCTACATAGTTCTGAAGGACAGAATGTTGGTATTTTTCCAGAGAGCTACAGGCAAGTTTCTCTGGCCATTAGGTTTTCCAGAAAACCAGCCTGCATGGTTAAGCCACACAAGTGAGGACTGGTAATTTGTACTATTTAATGTACCAACAGTAGAGTCATGACAGCACTGACTAGTGTTCAGCTAGACTTTTCCTACTGTTTGGATCACATTCATATATCATATTAATTCGTGTGCAACAAACTTACTTTTGCCCATAAAACTGAAATAACTTAAGACAGACAGAGAAGGCATAGCACGTTCTACAAACTGCAAATTACAGTTTTGAAGACTGGAGTTAAGACATAATCGACTTTCATTTCAGTTGTCATTTCCACATCTTTTCCCACAAGAACTGGGGAAGAGTTAGCCCACTTTCTCTGCAGGGTAAAAGAAAAAAGGGGAAAAAACACTAATAGGAGGTTGCAATCCCTTATAGGAAAGATTAGTCTGAACGGGGGAGAAGCTTTAAAAATTAAGCCAAGGACAAAATTGTTTTCTGGACAGCTAGAGGGGACAGTGAAACTCTGCACTCTTCTTTAGCCTATCTCGAACACAACAGACTCACAGACTGTAGCGCAGACACCTTCAAATAAAAGTTACCAGTCACAGGTTGTCAGACAGTCCCTATTAACTGATCCTTATGACCTCAAGAGGTATTAACAGAATAGTTAATGCTGTAGAAAGCTGGTTAGTATGGTTAAAAGGAACTTCTACTGTAAATGATTACTAACTGTTTTATCTTCTGAAGGCCAGTTCTGGAAGAATGCATTCAGGTATGCTTAGAGTAAGAACTCCTGCTTGACTACTTGGAAAGACTTAGGAGAATTTACTTCCTCCAATGCATCTGTCTAATGCTATTAAGCTGATCACTAAAAACCAAGACTCAAAGATTTTTCACCCCTTTCACCAGAGTATTCTTGATTCTACAGCAAAATAAAGAAGCTTGACAGATGCAACTAAAACTAGAAGAGGCAAAATGAAATACAAAGCCTTTGCTGCAGAACAAAAAAAAAAAAACCAAACCCTTTGTCTAATCACATGATTGACAAGATAAAGATGGAGAAAGCCCATGAACCTTCCTGGTGAACCAGATGAGCAGAAAAAAAAAACCCACTTATTAGAAAAATATCAAAACGTCAGTTTGACACACAGAAAGAAAAGCTAATATGTAGTCAGAGTTTAGATGTGTTCTTTTCATGCAGTGCACCTAACACGAACATTAGATTTGGCTGCTGTGTTTTCAAATATGTTTCCTCAGCCGGAAAAGATTACCTAAATTATTTAGCCAATGCAAAAGAAGACTCAAAGTCCTTTATAAAAAACAATTGTGTGGGACAGACAATATTTCAAAAATAGCTGGACTTCAGTTACAGCATTTTACCAGTATAGCCAGAATACCACAGCATTTATGAGGGGAACTTGAGATGAAGAATAAATTCTCAATCTAACTAACAACTGTAAGCTCCCTCACTTGAGGCATTTTGATTAAAAAAAAGCTGTATAATTTTTTTCACTAAAAACTGCTGTTATCTTAAGAATATATGTTAGTAGTGAAAAACATGCAAGTCACTAGAAGGTTTTAGAATTAGCTTTTATGAGCAAGCCACACAGCAGTCTCAGCATCTCATTGAGCAGCAAAATACAGACGTAAGTAATGCTGATGTTACAAAGCCTGGGATCCTAAAAAAAAAAACAACAAACCTTTCATGCCGCCCACAAACAGGGTTAACAGTAACTCTTCAACACCTAACCTAATCCATCAAGATCCCAGTGCATCTTTTGTTTTGCGCATCTTTAGACTTTGCTCCTTTGAGCAAGAACTGTCTTCGCTGCATCCCTTGCACAGCACGGAGCACGCTGACAGTGCTTAAATACAGAAAAATAAGAACACATTGGCATTTTCTTATCAAAAGTTGCAGGATACAAACCTCCAGGAAGATAAGATTCACTTGCTGTGTCATCCCCATCATCTCCATCTTCATCATCACGACTCAACAAATTATTTACAGCAAGGTTTACATCAAGATTTGTTCGCTGGAGTTCCCTAATAATGATACTTCTGGACTTCCCTTGTAAAACAACTTGTGCCTGTAAGAGCAGGTTATAATTGGTCACTGGTCATTCTCGGCTCACCAACTACCATTCATAAGAAAAGAATGTTTAATTCTAAAAGAAGTTTAATAAAAACCAAAAGTCAATCACAGCACATATAGGCAAAAGTTCACATGAATTTTTCACAGTGTTACACTAGATAGTCAACATTCTCCCAGTTCAAGTCAGGCCGCCGAATTCCAACTTTGGTGCTGAATTTCCTAATGGAATCTTATAATCTACTTCTTGAAATGCTTAATGCTGTAGTTAAAGGATAAGCCAAATCTGGTTTTGAGAGTGCTCTGTATGTTTCTATAAAAGCGTTTAAATTTACTATGTCAATCAACAGAGCTTTGCAATCAACTGCTGTTCCAAAACTACAGCTCAATCCCTGTCTTTTTGACACTGGTTTCTCTTTCCACTGCCCTTCAATATGTAACCACCTTACTTCCTGTGTTTCTCATCATTCTGCTTCTAAAGGCTTGTCTTCAGCAGTTTCTGCAACATTTGAATTTTTATTAGTGAAGAGCAAATGCAGAAAAAACCTTCAAAATGTTAAACAGCTGCAATGAATCTACAAAAAAGAGACGCATTCTGGTCTATTCCACTAATCCTAGGACTCAGAGCATTCTGTTTTTCCAGACAGACTACCTTCTACTGAATGCCAGAGTTCTGGAACATCACAAACTGTGTGAAGATGGTAAGAAACCAGTACTGAAGGTTTTCACAACACAGTAAAAATTAGGCCCCAAATAAAACGGGCTGTTGACAAGCAAAAAAAAGAAATGGACATTTTAACAGCACACAAAGGTAAAATTTTGTCATAACATTCTATGCCAGAAGTTTACAGATTTTCGAGACATGGTAAAATTTATGTTGTATAGACCAGCTGTGAAGATCTTTCCCATTGATCTCCTTTAGAGTTACCCCAAAAATGGTTTAGACACCTTCTGTTTTAAAGGTAGGCAAAGTATGGTATTTTTTTTTTAAAAAAAGCAAAAGATCACCACAAGGGAAGCAAAGTTACAGCTTCACCAACAAACCATACATGAGATTACAGAATGGAACTGTCTGGACCAAGGGATATTAGTCTGTTTTTCTATTTCACGTAAGGTAATCAAGGATGTCACAGTAAACACTCTCAAAAAAACCTAGAGGTGAACAATGAAGTCCAAAAAATCCCATTATTCCACAGCTGAAAGAGACCACTGGAGGTCATTGTATTAAACCACCTCCTAAAAGCAGGGCTAAATTCAGAGTAACCAACACCTCCAGTATTTTGCCTCTGTGAAGGCAAAAGCTCCCAGCTTTTACTTGGTTTCGAATTCAAAAAAAGAAAGGAACTAGAAGCCAGTCTGTCACTGGTGAGTCTGTACACACCTTGCCCACTAGCTCCTATCTTGTGCCACTCATGCTATAAGATCATTCAAAGCACACAAGCAGATGACCTTCAGCCTAGCAGCTAACACCTGTATTCCAAATGCAGGCCGGCAACTTGTTTTGAACTAAGAATTAAAATGTATTAACTAGTCACACATTTTCAATGTATTATTTTCTTCAAACGTGGAGAAAAACACTGTTTTAACAAACTCCACTTAATCACACAATGCAATGTCCGACAGCTTATTCTGTGTTTAGTGCACTACAAGGCAAAAGCAGAGCACTTTATACCCAACATTCATATTATAAAAAATTAATTAGATGTGTCCATGAAGAAAAATCATTAGTATTTTACAGTGATTAAATGTTTAATGTCTTTCATTTAAATCTAAAATGGATCACCCCTTTTATCAAGCAGGGGTAAAAAAGTCGACCTGCCCCCCTTCCTTACACTGCTTCAAGAAACTTAACTTTTATTAGCTATATAGAATCATAGAATGGTTCGGGTTGGAAGGGACATTAAAGACCACCTAGTTCCACCCCCCCTGCCATGGCAGGGACACCTTCCACCAGACCAGGTTGCTCAAAGCCCCATCCAACCCGGCCTTGAACACTGCCAGGGAGGGGGCAGCCACAGCTTCTCTGGGCAACCTGTTCCGGTGTCTCACCACCCTCACAGTGGAGAACTTCCTAATAGCTAATCTAAATCTCCCCTCTTTCAGTTTGAAACTGTTACCCCTCGTCCTGTCACTACACCCATTGATACAGAGTCCCTCCCCACCTTTCCTGCAGCCCCCCTTTAAGTACTGGAAGGGCACTAGAAGGTCTCCCCGCAGCCTCCTCTTCTCCAGGCTAACTCTCTCAGCCCACCCTAATAGGGAAGGTGCTCCAGCCCCTGATCATCTTCGTGACCCTCCTCTGGACCCGCTTGAGCAGGTCCATGTCTTTTTTGTGCTGGGGGTCCCAGAGCTGGACACAGCACTGCAGGTGGGATCTCACCAGAGCAGAGTAGAGGGGCAGAATCCCCTCCCTTGACCTGCTGGCCACGCTTCTCTTGATGCAGCCCAGGATGCCTTTGGCTTTCTGGGCTGTGAGCACACCTTGCTGGCTCATCTTCAGTCTTTCACCCACCAGCACCCCCAAGTCCTTCTCCCCAGGGCTGCTCTCGATCCACCCATCACCCAGCCTGTGTCTGTGCTTGGGATTGCCCCAACCCAGGTGCAGGACCTTGCACTTGGCCTTGTTTAACATCTTGAAGTTTGTATGGGACCACCTCTCCAGCCTATCAAGGTCCCTGTCCCTCTGGATGAGGGATGCTTTGTAAGATTCTCGAATATTCCATTTTCTCACTACATCTTCCATCTGCAAATGAACAACTCATGACATCCCTCATCTAGATTAAACACATCCCTTGTCTTAGTGGAAGTTTGGGAAATGAAAATTATAGAATCCAAAAAAAGTCTATCGCTCACACTGTGCATTTAAGAATAAAAGCAATTCAGCTAGAGAAAGTCAATCTTTTCAATTAAATGCCACTACTCCTTGGAGAAAATGCACTACTACTACAACACATTCCTGTTCACACACTATGAGAAGCTCTCCAGGTTTTTGGCAACAAGACATTTCTAGCTTATGTACCTGTGAAATGAGTTCCTCTGGAATGACTGATGCTGGAATCACTGGCTGTGGTTGACTCCCCAGCAGTCCAGATCCTCTATCACGTCCTGTGCGTATAACTCTTGTCTGCCTTCGAGAATCTCGAGCTCCAGCAGATGATCTACCAGAAGATCCTCCTCCACTTCCACCAACCCCTGAACTCCAGCGACTTCTAGAAGATTTAGATTATAATTTTTTTTATATATATAGCAATATATTTTGGGGACTACTTCAAGAAGTAGGTCTTTAGTTTTATTAATAATAACTTATTAAGACTGACAGTTTCTGAAAAATACTGCAGCTTGACTTCATAGACAAACACTATGAAATTATCTCTCAGAACTAGTAAGAACAACTGCACCAGACAATTGATAAGGTTCTGAATTATACAGAAGAAACATAAAACAGGACTCCCACTGGCAGTTGCACTCTTTTCTACACATGTAGTTGTGTGGATGCATACATACACAAATACATGCACGTGCCAATTCCCAGAGTTTCTAAAAGCAACAGTATTAGCAGCATAACATGTAACACTCAGCTGTTAACTTCCTACTATAAACACACACATGCAGCGTCTTCATGGTCAGTGGACTCTGTTTGACAGAAGGTCACTATACTCACATAGGTCTTTAAAATTTTTGAGACTCGATTTACATTAAGAAATTGCTTAAGATTACACTGGAAAAAAAATCAAGTAATTTTACTGCAAAACAAATCTTACACTAGATAGTTCTCTGATCCTCATGGATGGTTTTCAAGAGATACTCTACTCTAGATCTATTCCTATTGGGGAAATCAACATCAACTGTGCATATTGCACAAACATGCCTAAAATGACTGAACAATGTTTTCACTTCTGTCTGTCAGTATCAAAACAACGGAATAAAAAGGCATTATGACTTCCCACTGATCTTAATACCACAGAACTGTGCCAACTGAATCTGTTCTGAACATAGAACTACATACTTTGTTGTCATGAAAGGCTAAAAGACTAGAGATTATTCTTCAAGGTTAACTAAACTTTGTTGTACAAATCTGCCTTAAGTGATACTGGATATGGTATTATTGCTATTTAATAATCAGTATCAGCAGAACTTGCTGACTCTGATACTTCAGAACCTGCTCTCGACCACCCTAATCCTCAAACTCCTTTTAAGAAATATGTTTCAAATAAGAGCCGGGAAAAAAAAGGTATGTCCTCTGAAATAGCATCTAATAAATTCATGTTAAAAGTATACCACATGTAGCTATAAAAGCTAATTAGGTAAGAACACTTGTCTTACATTTTATGGCTTAAGTTGATTACTATCCTTTTTTTATTTGTTGTTGTTGTTGTTGTGGTGGGTTTTTTTCCCTCCCAACAAGATCACGCAATCACAGAATAACTCAAGTATTTGCCTAAGACAAGGCCCTGTCACAAAGACATCTACATTTTCAGGATTCTAGCCAGGGACCACACAATGACAAGACAAAAAGCAACTCAATGCTGGCTTTAGGAAAAGCCTTGTCTCATGAGTTAGAAAAAGAGCTCTTAAAAAAAAAAAAAAAATTACTACTGAAAATGAAAAAAACAAACCAAAACAAAAAAACACAAAATCACACCAAAGAAGAATGTGACATTTTAAATAAAACGAGCCAGTTAATCTGTTTCTAAAGGTGGGAAGGGGCTGAAGGGAAGTCAAATTCTTTCTACACAACAATTCTCAATTGAGCTCTCAGCAGGGAAGATGTGGACTTAAAGAAAAGGTTACATATTAAATTTTAATACTTATTACAAATGCATTTTCTACTTTAAGTTATAAACTATCAATGACAGACTTAAGACAGCTAACATTTGAAACCATTTATATTCATATAATCATTCAAATATTCCAAGTGTGTCCTAACCTGGTCCTGTTATAAAGAAAAAATAAAATCATAAGTACACAGCTATTCCTATTAAAGCTGTCTAAACCTAGAATAAATATTAAGCTAGAATGGAAACCTTTCTGCTCATTTCTGCTCATCTACTAGTTTTCCATATCTCTCCACTGTCCACGAGCATGCTAGCAATTTTCCAAATCCAGTGATCTAATCTAAAGGCTCCACAGTTTGAATGTTTTTAGACTCAGTTTATTAAGTTAAGTATTCCCTTCATTCAACAGAGCAGTTATAGTGTCTACTGCTACTCTACTCTCTGGTGACTTTCAACTACCAAGTTCTGAAACACGCAAGGGAAGAAATTAGGAACTCTTCAGGACAGGTCTCCTAAGCACAGAGCTTCAAACAATTTTAACCAGTTATGCTCAGGTAAAAATAATAAGGAAAAAAAAGTCTTACACTTTCTAATTTTTTAAGCATGACAATACTAGTTTGCCTTTAAAGTTTAACACATGGATTTTAGATTCAGATGCACAAAGATTTCACAAAAAGTTGAGGGGGGGTAAGGGGGTGGGTTATCTTTCATGCAACTAAACTCTAGATTAAATTAGCTTATTTCATAACATAAACAACAAATTCACTTTTACGGAAAACCTGTAGTTCCTCCCTCTGAAATCACTCACATGCAGAAACCACAGTTTGTAAATGCAACTCTCCTTACTACAGTCAGTAACCTTAGGCAGCAGCACTGTTCAACACGTCTTACAAAAGCATGTAACCAAGAGTTCACTGTGATCATGTAATGAAGATTAATTTACATTGCTATATAAAGGGACACCATCAATTTTAAAGCTTATGACAAAAACAATGAATCTGTATAGTACACTCAGTACATAGTACAATTTTGAAGGTTCTGAGCAACAACCTTTTCCAAATGTTCCCTTCCTATTCATTACTATGTCTAAGACCCCAACTAACAAAACACTGCTCATTACTTGGGGTAGACGAGAGGAAGGCACAACAAAACTGCGCATGCAAAGGTCTTCAAACACAGATAACGAAGATTATTCCTGCATAAATGCACTCATTTTACTTCACACTGTTAGCCTATCAGGGTTTAAATTGATAGTGTCCCTCTAAAAAATTGCTTTTCAAAACCAAGGAACTAAAAAATGTTAAAAAAAAAAAAAAAAAAAAGACAACACAGCCAAAACCAAGTTATTCTTCACACATAGATGAAGAACACTCCATATCCTAGGTACTGAAGGGTCACTTGCGTTGCTGTTATTTTAACCAAGTCAATAAAGTTTTCTTTTATCATACCCTACCTACACAACTGCTGTAATTATACGTTCCCTTATACATACTGCATACAATTTATATATGTGTATACACATATACTCAAATATGGAACAAACAGATTGCAGCCTCAATCCTATCAAAACTTACCCAAGGGTGTTGCCTGCCAGTCTGCCCAGAGTTTCAGAACCAGACAGAAACCATGGGGAGTCACTAGTCCTGCCTGGCCTGGATGTCCTTCCTGCCCCTGAGCCACTGCTCAACTTTGAACTGAAAGTAAAAGATGGTAAATCAGTCACAAAACAATCCCAAATGGGTTAAGAACAAAACCTGGAATCCCAGGTCCAAATTCTCAGGGACTTAGTCTGGTAACATACCAGCTTAAGCAACACCCTTGGGGAATATTCCAAACTAATCTAACTGTATATTAAGAGGTACACTGGAAAAAGAAAGTGGAAAGCATGCCTAACAGATCTTACGTACATTGGCAATCCATAACAGCACAGTTGCAAACACATATTAAGCTAATGAGTGATTTGAGTTAGCCACTGCGCTAAGCTTTCGGTTAGAGTATACGTACGTACAAACTGTAATTACCAGGTGTTCTATCCATAAACCTGAGCCTGAGTATGCTACTTTGATATTAAGAACCAGTTTACATTCAAATATCAACCATTAAACAGTCCTCTTAAGGGGGACTTACCTGGACTGAAGACAACAGGTCTAGAAAGTGAGCCTCTCCAGATGGGACCACTTTCAAAGTGGATTCTACATGAAGCTTCATAATTTAACACAGTTTCTTTCGTAAGGATTACTTTCGAAGGGGTTTGTTTCTTGAAGTTAAAGAGATCCTGTCTCACTTCTTTTAGAATCACATCTACTATTTATTCCTACACCAGTTTGTCAAGCTAGGCTGTTTGGCTGCATCACCACAATCATTATGTATCTACTCAGAGTACTCATTCCAAAGGCAATCTCATCTAAAAACAAATAAACAAAACCAAAACAGCAGCCAAGCTGCTTATCCAGTTCAAAAGAATGATTTAATAGGAAGAAAAGCAGTTCTTACCCATCATTATTATCAGGTTTACCCAACTCCAATCTGTCTGGCTGAACTGAAAAACCAATCCTGCAGACTCTTCCATCCTATATTTAAAAGAAGAAAACCAAGTGTCCAAAATTGAAATGTAAGTCAAGGTACAGAAAAAAAAAATACAAACAAAACCAAGTCTTCAGTTACTGAAGAACATTACCAATTCGATGTTAGAAGAATTAATTTTAACTCTATGGTTTGAAGTTTGTTATCTGAGCAAATGTAAGTAATTTACCTCAAGAAGAAATGCAGCATGATTTGGTCCCACCACACACTGTTTAATAGTGGCCTGTTCCAATACATTCAAAGGAGGGTGGCTGAAAACAAAAAGTGAGCATGTATAACATTTTAAAACTTTTCTTGAAGTCAGAAAAAAAATAAAAAACAAGTGGTATGTGGAAGGAACAATGTGCAGTGATGTTTACCAATATAAAAACATTCAAGAATGACTAAACGTGCATTAGTTGAAGCAACCATGACGTATTTTTGGTCATTAAGCACAGAAAATGAAGAACAAAACCTTAAAAGCTGATGGAGTTTTCATTTCATTTGATCAGCAATAAACAACAGGGGTTATACCTCAAATTAAGGAGTCATTTCATTAAGAGGGTATTTAATAATCAAATTTATCATAACTGAAAACCTAGCATTTTCTTCCCAATATAAGAACTATGTTATCTGAAGCATTTCTGAACTTTACGATTAGCAGTATTGAGGCTTTCTAAGGCTCTATCTACAGAACAATCATTTGCTGCTTGTTGCTTTTAGAAAAAATGTACTTTCCTACGTGATTTAGAGCAGCATGTGTCGTGCCTTACCTGTTTAAATTATATTTGTTCAGCTTCTCTGAAACTTCCCTTAATCTGAAACAAAAAGAAATGAAGCTGTTGTTTGAAAGACATCCTCCACAACACAAAACATCCACTTAAGTACCGTATTTATGACATTATGGGAACAACTTACCACCACATTTAATGAAGCTTGATACAAATACTACTTAGTGTTGGAGTCTGCATAAGAACGGGGTGGTGTTCGGCTTCAAACCAGGTTTTTGTTTTGGAGGATTTTTGCTTTAGAGTTTTACCCTTGCCATAAACCCCATATTTTCTTGCATTTCTATGTGTTCTGCAAGTCACTATCAAAAAACGCTACTCCTGCCTTGTTACCACCACTTACAACTTTACACACAAAACAAGCAGATGAAGCAACAAGCGCTGACATAGACAGACTTGTGTTTCCTCATATAAGCTTGAATATAGCATCTCGGAGCAGACAGGATTATAATTTTCTAGGAAATCCAAGTATGTGGCATGTCAGAGCCAAAAATATGACAGTACATGGCCCAAAACAGAAAAGACAGGAAAACAGATGCACAAAAGCCAGTGTCCAAAGGGATGAACAACAAATTTTGACTAGTAGAAGAAACAATCCAGAGAAAATTCACAATATATAGCGTTATATAAAACATCACCTTTACTAAAAGGCAAAGAATGTAAACTTCCATCTCATTTTCATGGCACCTCACCAAATGGAAGATCAGAACCCAAAAAGAGGTCAACCAACAGACCACTCCTGCTTAGAGGGTATGGTATCCAAAAGTGGAAACCAACACAGTAATTTCTAAGGTAGTTTCTAATCCACTTCGAAAAGATCCTCTCCAGGCAGCAAAAATACCCTTGTTACATCAGGCACGCATTTCAGGTAAAACTTGGGCTCCTTTCTTCCCCAAAATGATGAGCAAACTGAAAAAGTCCCTAAATAGCTTCCAATTTCAGTTAGAATATTCAAATTATATTAAGACATAAACCCAAGATAAATCCTGTAAAAAATATGCAAAAAATAATTCAGAGAAAAAAAAATAAATCCCAATTTCGATACCATGTTCGTGGTAGCATTCCACAAATCTCCTCCTTAATCAGCAACACCTCTCTAAACCTAACAAAAACACATACACACCAGCGCTGTTCTCTTCTGTCTGAATCCATGTCTTTAAACTCTTTCTTTTTACTTGTTTCACTTCAGTTTCTACACAGACTGCTATGGACAACAGACTTCAGTCACTTGCAAACCCCAAGCATGAGAAAGAATACAGATGAGAGGTCCAAACAGCCAAGTCTTAACGTTACCAACAGTATTTAAAGTGCTTGTTGTGAAGAAAAAAGGAAAAAAAGATAGATGTCTGTTGGAGAAACAAGATAATTTCTACTGATAGAAATAACCTTCAAGCACAAGAAGAAAGAACCACAGTGAAAGGACGGCAGGAAGGAAGTGAACGTGCTTAGAATTGCCTTTTGCTATCCAAGCCAAGCTGCTGGTTTGTAAGCAGGCGATTTCACACTCCCAATTTCCAGCCGCAACTACTTCACACAGGCCAGAAGTATCTACATAGATAAGGCTTCTGTGAAGACAATCCACAAAAGGGAAAAACTTGACACGCAACCTGTGTGAAAGGTACCCCACAGGAGTGAACTACTGTGGGAGAATGTGGAATGAACCCCCTGAAGATGAATGGCATACACTCCACAGCTTACCGTATGGTTTCATAAAGCAAGCAGGGATCTGCTGCATAATATACGACAAGTTAAACATCCCTGAAGTTTCATGTCTGAAGTATATTGCCTAACAGTTTCCCACAGGAATCCTGGACAGTTTTCCATTAACATTTCTCCTCTCAGCAAGCATGAGTAATAATTACAGAATAGGAAAACCTACCTTTAAGTTCACTGCGCTGCCTATATGAAAAGCTGACGGCAAATAAAGTAGCACTTTATTAGAGATGGTGACTAGACTGGTCTATGAGCAACATTTAAAGCTTCCTTATTTGAGCTTTGTGTCACAAAACCTGAGCACTACCAAAGAAACAGACATTTTTCAATTTGTAAAAAAACCATCATAATACTTCTTTACTTGTGTAAAAAAAAAAAAAAAAAGCAGCAATAGGGAAGAAATATGCACAGAAAGTGAAGACTTTCATACTCAGTGATCTTTTAGTAACACAAATAGATTTTGGTCTATCTGCAACAAGCATAGGCCAAAAGAGAGGTAGTGTTATCAAAAAGAGGCTGCTGTTCAACATTTAAGGGGAGGGAGCAGAGACAGACATAAATGATGATGCTGAAAGTACTAAACTCTCTGACGGGGGGTGGGGGTGGGTGGGTGTACAGCTATCTCACCCCGAGACCATCTCATACGCAACTGCTGTAATAGCAAAATTACCAAGTACTGCCTGATAAGCTCAGAGATCCGTGAGGACTTGAATTTGATGCAGAACACCACCAAGTGAAAAAGGAGCAGTTCCCCAGCACCATGTCCCTCCTAGGCTGCTGGTTTCACTCCCATTCCTCCCTGCTCCTCATGCTGCCACCAGCATTCACATGAACGCCAGTCACAAAACTAAACCAGCAGAAAGATGTGTTTGTATATTCTGTACAGAGAATACATCTGTAAAAATAAAAACTCTAAATAATTTCACAAAATCATTTCCTGCAGCAATCTAACCCTTTCTACTTGCACAGTTGCATGGTATTGTACTACTGACCCTCTGAAGGAAAAATACGAAATGCGTATTTAAGATCAGGTTAATTTTAACAACACAACGCAATAATTTCAACTGATGGTACACTGGAAGAAGAGTTACATGCAGAGATGATTTAATCTATTCTCACATTAAGGAAGGTCAAACATTCTCACTGAGGCCTTTCTGTGGTGAAATGAATCTCCAATATGAATGCCTGGACAGGGTAAGCTTTGAAAAATTCTCATTAAAGGTAATTAAACTACTTCAAAGGATGAAATTAGAAGCAACACGTATTTTGCTCACAAACAGATTTTTGGGGAAATGCACTAGCTTGCCACACTTCTGGAACAAGAGTTTAGTGATGATGGCTCCTGTGTTAAGACACACACTCTTTAAATAGCCCTATCAAAATTCATCCAAAAATAGTTCTGAGGAAAACAAGAAGTTTGTTTCTCCAAGCAAAGTACGGACTGCTTTGATTCTAAGTTTTGCAGCTACAACTTCTAGCCTCTTAAAACTAAGCTCACACTAAGCAATCAAAGAGGGTCCCGGTCAGGACTACAGAAGCTCAGACTTCACAAGTGACACTTTCATTCATCATAAGATACCACTTCTCTCAAAGTACATTTCTATTTCCAGAGAAGTTTATCTGAGGACCCATCCTTCCACCACATCTTGCTTCAAAAAAAGAAGTTGGACTCAAAAATGTGAGCAATCCACAGAGAAACTCCATTTCAAAATACTGTTTCATAGAAAAACTGGGCCTCAGTACACTCTGAAGTAATTTTACTCTGTTTAAACAAGTGCTTAAATCCACATAAGCAAAAATTACAATTTGTAAGAACAAAAATCTTCGGTTTTAAAGTAGGCTGTCCCGAGATTTTTTTTTTAAAGACACTATAGACTTCTATAATACAAGTTCACCATGCTCAGTTCCCTGCAGCAGTCCATCAGCAGCAGTCCTACCTTGCCAGTCATCCTGCAGAAATATTCATCCTTCTCAAGTATTTCCATCATACCCACAACAGTTCACAGACCAACAAACAAACTAGAAGACACAAGCAGAACTTTCTTACCACTATAAGGTTTTAGAATAGTTCAATGAATGCATGCTCATCCTTCTGCCCATGTGTTCGGAAACTAACAGTCACAAAAATAAAGAAAAAGAAAAAAACCCCCCACACCTACATCATCTACACTCAGTGAACATCTGCAAGACCTTCTCAAGCAGGCAAGTAACACGAAAAGCATAGTGCACTGTAAATAGAAATCTCATGTAGCAATATTTACATAATTTTCCCCTCAAAAACTTACTTGCTGTTGAACAGAAGAGCATTTACAGGTGCTAATATCTAATCTGACATTTTGCAGCTTTAGACAAATAACAGCACCTCTAGCGAATTTATTTATAAGTATTGAAACAATTTCTGCCATCTCAGAGATTAATTTCTGTAAGAATATAAAGAAAGCTATCGTTCATTTTTCTCTGCAACTTTAGACTGATTTTTTAAATGTCAGCTAAGTCTTTAAAGAACACACAGTAAAAATCACTGAAGTTAAGCAATCCAAACAAAGGATTTAACTGCAGAGATGTAAAATATGTTTGCAGACTGCACGTCTCCAAAAGGAAGGAAGTCTTTCTGTACTCAGCAAGTAAAAGTAGAGTCCCAGACTCAATACTCAGAAGATTCTCTTGGATTTTTCCTGAAGTTGCTCCATTATAGCCTTAAAAAGCTATTTGTAGCACACTTTAAAGTTAAAACAGCAGGCAGTGGCCCCACCACAAGAGCTTTCCTCACTTCAGCACCACATGGTGATGGTAAGAGCTGCAGAGGAGGAAAAGGAAAGGTACATTTTAAAAAAAAAAAACAAAACCCAACAACTTAGTGTGATGAACAACTTTGAGTAGGGAAATTTAAAATAAAACTGATTTAGCCCTGGTAGACTCTTCCAAGTGATCAGGCCTCTTTACGACAACCTAATATGTCAATGAAGTCTGTAAGCCAACAAACTTAGGAGACCTTCACACCAGAGCAGAAAGAAGTACACCAGAACCGATAAAACACTTTTCCAAGGGAAGGCTAACAATAAGCAGGTATTCAAGAGGCAGAAAAACCCAACTCAAGCACTGGAAAACAGTACTGAGTAACATACCTGTCAACACTTAAAAAGTAAATACAACCTTCATCTCCGTCCCTCAGTTGAGACCCTGAAGCGCTCTGAGCACAGGGAGCCAGACGCAAGGAGGCAGCTATGTGGCCAGCTAACAGGATTTAGCCCAGCAGAGCTGCACAGACCAAAGCCTTCTCACAATTGCCTATCTTGAATCACGCAGAAATGAAC